TCCATCATTGAAAAATATAAAATATATCCTTCCTATTTTTCATCTTTCTTACTTTTCATTCTTCCTATCAAACGGAACATAAGACACGAAATTCTTTTGCTTTTTTTTCTTCTTCACGTACTTTGCATCTTAGCCTATTTAGAGGAAGAAGGAGCCCCTAAGCCGATGAGAAGATCCATCCCAAATTCGCAGATCCGATCAAAAGTCTATGATCCCATTCACAAAGATATTATCAGTTTCATCTACTGACTAATTGTTTTAAAACGCTTCATGCTGATTTTGTATCCTCACTTTATCTCTTTCACCTCAATTCAATCTATCTATCTTAGATATTGGCAATCGTACTTTAACTTGTTAATACCAAAAAAAAAAACTTTTAGCTTCTTAAGACCATTAAAAAAAAACTCAACTAGCTTGTTTTTTTTTTTTTTTTAAGTCAACTAGCTTGTTGAGATATCACCACTACCTCCGATTCTCAACAAATCCATGGGACTATAATGAGTGACCTGAGAGAGACTGACCACCAAGAATAAATCCATGGGCTACAGCAGTGAGGTGGGACAATCCTAGTATAACCACATATACTTACCCAAAATAATGTAAAGAGTGGACCATGCTTGATTTATTACATAACACTAACTAGGTAAGCGGAGAAGTACCTATAATAATACTAGTGGATGATAGAGAAGTGGGTATGTACAAGGGACAGCGCCGCCCTCACACAACACGGCCGCGTGGCTCGTGAATATGATTGATCACATTTTTATGGGCCAAAAGGTAGGATAGGTCAACTAGTATTGGTATCATTCACATATAGGTATCATTCACATATGCGACAATGAAGGCAATGGTGCATGTTAGTGGTCGGTGGTGGTGGCGGCTGGTAGCGGATCGTGATATTTGGAGGTGGAAATTTTTTTTCCCTCTGTTTAATAAATTATTTAAAAACACACAAAAAGATAATTTTCTATCTCATCGTTTGAAGTCGATTTTGATGAGCATAAATTTAAATGGGTTAGGCCCAATAAAAATAATCTAAGAAAGATCGAAGAAAAGTCTACCTCTAAACTGGATTGATCTATTAAAAAAGAAGACATCAAGTAGTCAACAACCAAAGTCCCAAGGCCAACGCCCAAAAGACTTAGCAATTGGGCGTCGCCCATGGCGGCCCCTTGCCGCCTAGGCTGGCCCCTTGGGCGCCTCCATCTTTGCTTCTCTTTACTTTGGAACTCTAGGTCCAAGTCAAAACAGGTCCAGGTCCAGGTCATGCTCAATCCAACTAACATTCTCTCCCGGATGAATAGGAGCACGATGAAAGATAATATAGAGATTGACATAATAGATCTCCTAGTATAATAATACTTGTCAAAGCTATGAAATTTTTTTCCCTCACGTCACCGCCTCCACTACCTTACCCTAACTATATAATATAAGTCCTCTCAACATTGAGGGCACGCCTTCAACGCCTCCGAACCTTACACTCATTGTTTTCTCTTTGTCTCCCTAAAAACACTGTATTTCTCCAGAGTACTATCATTCATCAAAATTAATAAAGAACACAGGCTGTCGCTGTCATTCTCGAGAGTAGATGTAGGTCACCCAGACCGAATCACTATAAATTTCTATTTTAATTGCTTAATTACTATTTTTATTCTTGATTGTCATTGATTACTTATTTTTCGTTCATTAATTACACCTGTTTACATACTTGACTTTTAATTTTGCACGAAAATAATTTTATGCATCATCAAATTTCCCATGGAATTAACAACAAATGGTTTGCGTGCGTACCTGGAATGTGAAATGCTTACCTTTTAGACAAGCATTTAGCTATGTCCGTCAATAGAACTAATAGATACGATCTTCGTGCTTTAAAAGTCTGGGGACCATCCATTCATTCATTCATTCTCACACATCTCTTTCCGTCGAAGTGGTTCGGAGGTCAGCACTGAGTTGTAACCATCAAATTTGTGGGTCAGTTTGGAACTCTGGTAAACTGTAACGTCCGTGGCTGAGCAAAGCTAATGATTGCGAGTTTGTCAGGGAAAAGCATTAAACACTATTTATGCTTGTGACTTGACCATTGACCATTTGGGCATTTAAACAAACACATCAGTCGCATCAATCTCAGTGCTCAACCCATGCGGGCCGTTGGCGCAGCAGCAGCAAATTAACAAAGGACATGTAATAAGAAATTGCTCAAAAAAAGGACATATAATAAGAAGAATAAAGAAAAAAAAAACTTCCGGCGATAATGAGTTCTGCACATGGGTTGCAAGATGGTGGCATTATGATTGGTGCTGATTGTATTTGTTTCTGGGCCAACACAGTTCGCAGCTCGGGATTCATCGGTTGAGACCCAAAGTCGAAGTTGCAGCTTTGTACTACGCTTAAATCATTTTAATTCAGTGTATAAGTTGCCTTCACGGGACCCGACCACTTAGAACTGTTGAGTATATGGGTCGATCTCATACTAATTACCTGAACAATCGGCTTACACAGATTGAGTCATAGTCTTGTCCAGTCAAGTCCTAATTTTTGGTATTAATGGCGATTTTTTTTTTTCCAAATATTCTATAGTAAGATTTTATTTAGGGTAGAATTAGGAATATGGCAAGTGATAAAAGTTGTTTGAACATTAATATACATTATTAACGGTTGGCCTAATAGTCACCGTCTCCACTGTTAATCTTAAAATTACGGATTCAAATCTTATTATCTTTCTCGCTCTAATAATGTCTAATAAAAAATATATTGTATATGTATAATAAAAATGAAAGTTTGTGGGGACCCTTTGGGCTGAATTACATTTGCATGGTTTGATCATTTTTTAGATTTTCTAAGGTCAAATTACGGGCTAATTAGTTTGAGTGATATTATCTACCTTGTTTCCATGGAAGAAGTTTGAGGTTCAAATCTCCTTATTCCCAAGTGTAAACAAAAGAGCGGTAGAAAAACTTGACTAGCAAACTCAACAAGAATAATATGAAATTGTTAATCCCATAAAAAGATTCAAATCTCACCGAATTTTTTTTTTATGAAATGGTGTGTTATTTACCATATACTAGTGGAAAACTAACTTGGATTGGGTTATAGAGAGTTGTGCATGAATTAATAACGAGTGATCTAACATTTAAAAAAAAAACATATTGAAGGAGGAAATTCAATTAAAAGGAATATTGTTAGGTTCTCTATCATGAATTCCCAATAAAAAATTGTCAAGATAATGTCCTAAAGCCATGCCATATCGCTAGTGGTTCCTCCTCCTTTGAGTGCAAGGACTTATATGCGAGAGGGGAGACGACTCTCAATCGATGTGGGACGAAACTCCTGCGGCCACGGAGAGGTAAAGGCTACTGGGGGGGTCGCCCGTGTGGATTAACCTAGGTCAAGCCGAAATCCTCGAAATCCTTAGTAGAGGGTTCTACCCCTTAGAGAAAGACGTCTTTTGGTGGACAAGATTTCCTCCCTCCGAAAGGATTTGGACTAAGGGTTCTACCCCTTAGAGAAAGGTGCCTTTTGGTGGATAGGATTCCCTCCCTCCGAAAGGATTTTGCCTGGCTTGCACCATTTTCTAAGGCAATACAGTAACCTTTACCTCCATCCCACATCGGGTAGGAGTCGTCTCCCCCTTGTCATATAAGTGAACACTTCTTATGGAGGAGGTACCCACTAGCCACTTAATCAGGTCGCTAGTGGGTACCCGTCCCTAAGGGGCTCAGGCTTATAAGGGGGTGGGGGAGACGACTCTCAGTCGATGTGGGACGAAGCTCCACACTGGCACTGAGAGGTAAAAGTTATTGTATTGCCTTAGAAAAGGGTGCAGGCTAGCTAAAATCCTTGGTATTCAGGGATGAGATCCGAACGCGCGATTTTTATCCCTAAGAAGATCCACCAAGTTTTGATGGAAAATCATCCATCCCAAGTTGGACCAGATTCCTTCTTTTTAAGTTGCAACTGCTGGATATGTTGTTGAAATTTATATCCAATAATCTAACTATTTCATTAGTTATTTTGCATAACCCCCATTCTATTAGCTATTTCTGGTGAGCCACAACAGGTAGGCAAGTTTTTTTTTTTTTTGCGCCAATTTTCTCACTCTTTATGCCCCCTCATGGTATTTATCTCACAATCACAGAGGGTCATCATAGAGGTTGGTTGTGGCGTCATTTTCCAATGCTTCATCCCCCAAGTATGAACTTCTCTCTCTCTCTACTCCCACTAAAACTCCACCAAAAACCCCTCCAAAATTAGACCGAAAATTCCATTGAAACTATACAAAAAATCAGACCAAAAACCAGACGAAAGCCCCACCAAAACCCTTGTCTTTGGTCTATTTGGGTTGGGTGGAGAGAATGAATTTGTGAATTGTCTTTCTTTCTAAAAGTTAAAATAGAGAGCGTCGTTGGAGTTAAGTAATAGGAGTTACTCTTTAAAATAGATAGTGTAATAAAAAATATATTTTGATTAACTATTTTAATTAGCATCCTTGAAGTTGCTCTAAGTGACTCATTTTGCTTCCTCGTTTGATTATCCAAGTTAACTAAACTTGTAACTCGTGGATAGGGTGTAAAAATATGATACGATCTATTAATACGACATGAGATAAGAGGTTTTGAGTTTTTCTTAAACTATTAATTTCGTAAACGAATGAATTTGATCCAATATTATTAATAAACGAATCAAATATTAGTGAAATTAATTAAAAGAAAAAAACGACACGATTCATTTATATATTAGTTATACATGGTTGATATATGAATACAAATTTAATATTATATGATTCATTAGACATAAATTAATAAACAAATTAAACATGATTAAACTGTTTTTTCATATGAATATATTAAAATTCGACATAAATCCGTTTTACTCCACACGATTTACGTACTTATATAGCGTGGTCCCTATTTTGAACGGTGAGAGATTGAAGTGGGAGAATTTGAAATTGCGAGGATCCGAAACTCTCGATCACCGTCAAAATGGTCAATCTGGATTTTGATTACGAGCCGGACGCCAAACTCTTTAAAATTTGTCACAATTCTCTATTCTTCTATTCGTTTGGACGCATGCTCTCCGATCAATAGCTCCACACTCTGCCTTCTAAGACACACAGAGAGGGAGAGATTACACAAACATTTGTATCAGTGTCTGTATAGAGAGAGATATTGGTTCATAGAAGCGAAGGCTTGAAGAAGAGGTGGGGGTGGGGAGAGAGCCTCAGTTTCCTTTATCTATTAGCTTCTGTCCAATTTGTCGAGACCTCGGGCAAAAAAGCCCTAATATTCGATTGTTCTGAGATTTAGGGTTTATACACTTAAAATTCGAGGCTTAAGATAGGGTTTTGTGAGAGCGGAATTTGTGTTTACGAAACACTAATTTGTTATTGATGTTCTGTACATAGATGCAATAGCTGTGTAGAATTTGGGGGTTTTGGTTTGTTGTAGTTGTCTAATAGTGGTGTGCTCTGGGGGATGGACGGAAGGAGAATAACGGCAAGTCCGAGGCCATGCTGTGGACGACGGGTGGTGGCGAAGAAGCGGCCTCGCGGTGGCAACGACGGGTTTGTGAACAGTGTGAGGAAGCTTCAAAGAAGGGAGATTTGCTCGAAGCGTGACCGTGCTTTTAGTATGAGCGATGCCCAGGAAAGGTTTAGGAACATTCGTTTGCAGGTTCGTTTCGATTGTTTTTTTACTTGGGTCTTTCAATTTGTTTTATTTCTATCGCTTTCTCCTGTATTTGAATGATTGAAATGCTTAGGGATAAAGAACTCCCGGCAATAGTAAAATGAATAGATTTATTTTGGAAGGATAGAGCGTGGTACAATAGGAAAAAACTGTTAGGGTTTTGATACTTAATCCATCAGGTTCTTGCCCATTGAATACCCAACTGGTTATTTAAGTTTCACTAACTACTGGTGATCCTAACTACTGGTGATCAGGTTGAACCTTGAACAATTCCAAAATTTGACAACTATTATAGAACTAGGTGCTTGATTAGAATTGATAGTCCAATGTATCTTATTTGCTATTACTGATTTAAGCTAAAGATCAGTGATGAAACCACACCAAAAACTTGATTTAGGCAAACATACTGATGAGACAATGCCAAATTATTTGTGTAACTTCAATATCCTGTTGACCCTGTGTTGTTAAATAATATTCCTCATATTACTAGCCTATTCATTGTTTAATTTGTCATCGTACACCTTTTGTACCCATGTACTAATTCAGAGTTTTTGGTCCCTTTTACCACTTTATCTGCAATACGCGGACTCTGATGTTCTATGTGGTTCTTGCTGCAAGTGCTTTCTGCTGTAGGCTTTGGATTTATTGTTGCAGTGATAGCATTTGCATACTCATCAAGCTAAGGTGTAGAAAGAGAAAGTAGGCTTGGTGAAGGAGAATAGGAGAGAGAGCATGTACACATGCTTCATGGTTGCTTGTGGGCTGCTCCAACAACAATATTTTCTCCTTTTTCCCCCCTTTTTCGTTTGTAAATATGGATGGTGTGGTGTCTTGGTGATATGGGAGCTGGCACTCTCAAGGGGCGAGTAATTTTTTAATGCTGGTTTTGAACTGGTCTAAGCCTGGCGGCTGCCTTTCATTTTTCCTTTGATTTTTCTGTACTTGTTTTGGTTGAATTAGGGAAATGGTGGAGCTTAATATGGATGCTTGCTTCGGCGATACCCACATAACAATACTTAATCAATAATTTTATATCCACGAAAACTTTACCAAATTTTGGATCCCAAATCTGTGAATCATAGGATTAGTGGGTCTCACAAATTTTTAATAACTATTTCAAGGACTATCGATGTGCCACATCATTTGAGATCCAAAATTTGAAAGTTTTGGTGGACACATTATTTCACTACTTAATTATACAATTCTGAATAGTAGTTGACTTTCGTTTTTCCATACTTCATTTTAATGATTGGAAGGAATGTTCTAGTTTTTCCTTTGGAGTGTTACTGCAGAGGTATCAATATAAAAATTGCTTCAAAGATTTGCTCTGGAATTTTTTTTTTCTTTCTGTCATAGTGCATGTTTTTGGTTTCTTCAATCTGAAGTGGCTAGAAATGGCTTATTTTTAGACCTGGTTATCTTTTATGTTACTTTGTTGATCGTTATAAATTGTATGGATATGGAAAAAAGGAGAAAAAGATATCATCCAGTGGTATGAGTTGTTGTTGGGAATATATGTACCCCCAAGGGTGAGGGGTTTGAATTCAGGCATCTTTGCTATTGATTTGAGTCTTGTTTTCACTCTTAAAACGTTTTCTGATGTTATGCATAGGTCAAAAAAGATTTCAAGTAAACTTTTTAAATCACTATGAAAAAGATATTGACTGTGACGTGGGTTTATGTTCCGCAAGTTCAGCCTGTTCGTTTCGTTTTTCTAATGTTTAGTCTGGACCAGTAAGGTTTGTTCATTAGCTAATGATTGTTCTATATAATTGCTAGCTTGGATTGCCACATTTATTTTATATGAGCATTCTTGGTATATTAGTTCTTCATGTTACTAATGCTTTCTTATGATTATATGTTGGCATCAGGAGGAATATGATACCCATGATCCTAAAAATTGTGCTATGGTACTGCCATTTCTCAGTAAGAGGTCAAAAATTATTGAGATAGTAGCTGCTCGTGACATCGTCTTTGCTCTAGCGCAGTCTGGTGTTTGTGCTGCATTTAGCCGAGGTAGATCTATTATGAGTAATCATGCATATATTCTTGTTAAGTTTTTGAATGAGTGTTTAAAATTTTAATCGTTTGATGCAGAGAATAACGAGAGGATATGCTTTCTGAATGTCAGTCCTGATGAAGTTATAAGAAGCTTGTTTTACAATAAGAACAATGATTCACTCATCACAGTTTCAGTTTATGCTTCAGACAATTTCAGTTCCTTGAAGTGCAGAACCACTCGGATTGAGTATGCGGATTCTATGCGTACATTTGTCGTTAATATCTTTTTATGCATTTTTTCCTTTTTTTTAAAATGTCAAGTCCACAAATGGTTTCAGATATATACGAAGGGGTAAACCAGATGCTGGTTTTGCTCTTTTTGAGTCTGAGTCATTGAAATGGCCTGGTTTTGTGGAGTTTGATGATGTGAACGGGAAGGTACTCACTTACTCTGCACAAGATAGGTAAATAGTCAACCTATGACGATAATTTTTATGAGCTAACTTATGACCATCTTCTGATGCAATTGGGTTCTTAACTCTTATGTATGCATGTCTTTGTTCTTTCATCAGCATATACAAGGTGTTTGACTTGAAAAACTACACGATGTTGTACTCCATCTCAGATAAAAATGTTCAAGAGATTAAGATCAGGTATTTTTTATGAACTAGCATGTACAATAATCTGCATGCTTGAGTATGTACATGTGGAATCATATATCTTTGTATGTATTTCAGATGTTGCTTCATATGACATTCAACTCAATGATTGATTTTAGCTCTGAATTTGCATTCCCCACTAGTAAATATTGTCTGAATTACCTTTTGGGGAAGAAATGGAAGAAGTAACTCATCTGTGGTTGGTTTTCCATGCCATTATGTTTGAAGTTTGTTCCATCGAATGGTCCCAATTAAAGCTTCTCCTCACTCACCTCCTCTAACTTCTAAGTTCTAACCCAGAGGGAACTACCACCTACTACAAATTGAGTTCTTCCTCCTCCATTCCAGTCCACCTGTTCTCTCTCGCTTGCTCTGAACTTATTCTGAGACTTGCACTTCAGGGCCTCATCTGCTACCATTACTGCCCAACACTAGTATGTAATTGGTTTTCCACGCCATTATGTTTGAAGTTTGTTCCATCGAATGGTCCCAATTAAAGCTTCTCTTCACTCACCTCCTCTTAACTTTTAAGTTCGCTTGCTTTGAACTTATTCTGAAACTTGCACTTCAGGGCCTCAACTGATACTGTTACTGCCCACCACTAGTATGCAACTTCTTTTGAGTTTGTTCCCTTTTCATTTGGAGAGTTGTCAAATAAGCATCCCATTGTGTTTCTTGAGGTGCTTGCAAATTTGTTTTTTTTGCTTACAAAGTATATAGAATCTGAACCTGTAGGAGAAGGATTTGTCTTAAAAGGACCATTGATTAATTCCTTTCCTTGTTGCTGCCTAGGTGCCTGGGCAGTCAGTCACCTAGGTGACGACGTGTCCAATGCAACCCTGCAGGCAGATCTCTCATTGCAGTGGGGATTTCTTGATGGCCCATGATGCATGGACCACACATTTTATAACAGGATATTGGTGCTTGGTTATGTACTTCAAGTTTAGTTTTGGATGCACCCTTTTTCCCATTGTTTTTTTCTGTAACCCTTTGTTCTCTCTGGATTCACAATGTGGACAGATGTTATATTGCTTTGTGTACTTGTGTTACCCTTGTTTGTTCTCTGAAACAGTCCTGGAATCATGTTGTTGATTTTTACAAAAGCTAGCGGCCATGTTCCTCTAAAGATTCTTTCAATAGAGGATGGAATGGTTCTCAAATCTTTCAACCATCTTCTTCATCGGAATAAGAAGGTGGATTTCATTGAACAGTTCAATGAAAAACTTCTTGTCAAGCAGGAAAATGAGAATCTCCAGATTCTTGATGTAAGGATCTTTCTCATTGTCGTACAATATTTTTATGCTAATCGGTAGTTAAAATCTGACAACTATTGTTTCTAGGTTCGCAATTCTGAACTAACAGAAGTTAGCAGAACTGAATTTATGACCCCATCAGCCTTCATATTTCTGTACGAGAACCAGTTATTCTTGACATTTAGAAACCGAACAGTGGCTGTTTGGAACTTCCGTGGGGAGCTTGTGACTTCATTTGAGGATCACCTTTTGTGGCATCCTGACTGCAACACTAACAACATATACATTACGAGTGATCAGGATCTTATTATTTCCTATTGCAAAGCTGATTCTGATGATCTGTTGTCTGATGGAAATGGTAAATTCCGAACTACGTATATGTATATTTTATGTAATATATTTTTAATATGAAATATGTCAGATTATTACAAGATGTGCTGGTAAACGTGTAACAAATATATCTGGTGAAGGGTTCAGGGATTTCCTCACCATGCTTTCTTGAGAAGGAACAAATACTTTTTAAAATGCCATCAGATAATGTTGGTTTTTAGTTGATGTAAAGGTTTACTTAATCTACGATGATGTATCTGTGCAGTGTGGGGTCTCGTGTTTACTTTTCCGTGTTAAATGGGAAGTTGTCTTTTGAATTGTATATAGCTTTTTGTCGTTGCTTAGGGTTGGAACAACAGGATCTCCACTTCCACGTCCTCCATGCACCCAATACAGTGATTGAAAATATTCTTCTGGTGATATTGTTGGATTATGTGAATTGTCTAAATGGTCATGTGAATGTTTATTTTGTACCTTGTATATGAAATTTGTCATTTCCTAACTATTTTGCAAGTTTATGGTTTCATATTTATTTATAACCATTTATACTGTTGTTTGTGCAGCAGGTTCTATCAATATCAGCAATATTTTGACAGGCAAATGCCTTGCCAAAATAAAAGCAAACAACAGCTTTCCCATGGGCAGTAGCATTTGTAGTGACAGAACTTGCAATTCAAAGAAGCAGGTCCAGACTTCAAGGATTAGGAGCACTGTCTCAGAAGCACTTGAAGACATCACTGCTCTCTTCTATGATGAGGAACGCAATGAGATTTACACTGGCAATAGGCTTGGCCTGGTCCATGTATGGTCTAACTGAAGGTTGTGTCTTGTCATCTCACTTGCCCTCAGAATCCATGATTGTTCTTCCAGGTGGTTAGGTTGATTATGCATCCCCAGTATGAGAACCATCTGGAATTGTAGTATTAGAAGCTTTTGAAGTAGTTAGTTGTGCTGTTTTATGCATTTGTAAGGATGTGTAGTTCATGATTCCCCCCCACCCCCAAAAAAAAATGTGGGGGGGGATATTTGCCATCCTTTCCTTTTATTTTTGTTTGTCAATTTGCTTTATGGGGATGAGTCCCTGATAATGTGAGTTAGATATTGGATTTGTTTTCTTGCTGTATATGTGTTTTATAACCTGGGGCTTCAACAACGAAGGCTGTAGCCAACTAACAGGCAGTCGTCTTGTGGTGTTTTGTCTTGGTTTGGCCGACTGATGTTTGAAAATGTCGAGTTAGCTTGCACCTAGGTGGTCGCAAATGGAGACTTTGAGGAGTTGTATGTTGCTTCTGCACTGAGAATTTACATTCCTTTTTATTTGTAGATGTCTACAGTTGTGGGCATTATATTCTGCTTGGTTGTCTATGTTCTTTGGCCTATGAGATAGAACAACTTCTGTTATATATGTTGTTTTGAGTCGTGAGAGCCTGCGGTTATGCATTTGCTTTGCAGGAAACAGTAAAGGGTGCAATCTATGTATTGAATTAAGCCACGATCATAGGCATAGCCCGGGTGGCTTCAGGTGACCGCGACAGGCTTTCGCTTTCCTCCCATTTCAATCCATCCAAGACTCTCAGAAAAAGAACAAAAGAATCAAACGAGAGAAGAGAGACAATGTGATGGGGGACTCCATCTGTGCTTGTGTTTGTGAAGTTGTCTCTTAGTATGTCAGGCGGAGGGAGGGTCCGAAAAGGCAGGTCATCTCCAACCAATGCTTCACGATTTGCCAACCTTTGTTTGCTATCTGTGTCTTCTAAGCGAAGATTGGGTGGGGTAGGTTTGGCTCCATTATGGCTTTGATTGAACACATCCATTATCTAAAGAGGGTATATGAACACAGGCTCCCCCAGTGGCCAAGAGGACCTCTAGGGTTGGTGCGGGATGGCGTAACTGCCCATACCCCCTCCCGTTTAGTTCCCTTCAATTAAAAATCATTGTACATCTTCAGTCATACATGATGAATTATATATTCTTTGTTGTGATATAATACGATCTAAGCTGTCCATCTTCATCATCTAGTTTAGACTATGTTATCTTGCTATAAAGTAGTGTTTTTAATCTCTAGTTTATTCCAAGCAATCTACACCTAAACACGTCACTCATGAAATGAACCTATTAACAACATTTATCAATGTTGTTGACTAGATTTTTGGGTCCCATGAGCCGTTAATCAGTAGCTAATGGGCATTATGATATTTGTAAGATTCGCTAAATAGCATCCCTCTCGCTAAACCCCCCGGCGGCCATCATAGTCGAATGTTGTATTAGCCTATTGCTCATTTTGATTGTATACATACATGCATAGAATTTATTAGTCTCATTATTAGTTGATAAGTAACGTGTCATTAACAAATTGGAGTATATAAAATTTCGTGAAGGATTGCGTGATTACACGTGCCTTGGCGCAGGGTGGGCGTGGGATGGGGAGTGGGTTGTGGGGTGGCGTGGCGGGGGGCGCTCTGCGCTGCGTTTACCTTTACTTGCCTTCCTTCTCTCTCGCACTCAAACCGCCTCTCTCCCCCTCTCCATAAAAAGAGAGAACCAGAAAGAGAAAAAGAGGAAAAGGCACTGTCGTTTCTGCTCGCGTTTGAGATTTCCACTGAGGTAACCACTCTCTCTCTCTCGGGCTTGTGATCGAGTAACTCTCATTCTTCCGTTCGATTTGCATTTGCTTATAGTGCTTATATATACTTACATGTATATATTTATGTTTGTGTGTATATATTTCGGATATTTTGCAGGTTTTTCAAGGTGAGGAATTTTATTCGACGGAATGCTTGTGATTTGAACCTGTTACGAACTCCAGATAGAGTTGCTGTCATCTGTGATTCTATGGCTAGATCTGAGCTTTAATGGAGAAAAAGTATAGTAATCAAGATTTTCACCAACCGATAGTTGTTTAGGTGAGACTTGCAAAGAAATAAAACAACTTCCAAGATGCTAATGGAATAATGTATCAATTAAATAACTTATTCTCACTGGTGATTACTTTACTATCAACCATAAGAAGTTGCTTTTCAGATACATTCAAAGCACATTCTATGAGTGCTGTGAGCTCTGTTCAAGAAATACAATTCTAATAGACGTCAATTGTACATCAGCGTTGATTCTCTTTGAATACAAAGGAGGTGCAATGGAAATTTGTGACAGCTGAAAGGAACTCCTGGTTCGTGCAGTTCAGATTTTGGGTCCATTTTTTTTTTTTTTAAATGTATGGTTTGAGGGTCATTTTGTTGCATTGCAAGAAACTAAGGGTTTGGGTGTTATCTTCATCAGGTTTTTTGCTTTTTGGATAAGCTGGTTCAGATGGAGGGAGGCATTGATGCTGATGAGCCACTTGATTATGCCGAATTTCAGATTTTTCCGAGTCAAAACAGGTTACACTAGTTACCTCACAGTTGTTATCACGAGATTAGCTATTATTGGCACAAGGCAATTAGTTGTAGTTTGTTTAGCTCTTGAGCTCAGCTCGTTCTTTTTGTGCTATTATATGATTGAAGTATTGAACACTCCGAAATTGTTCAACGGTTGTTCTCCTTTATTCCCCTTATAGGTATGTAGCATTTGTATGTGGAGGCAACAACGTAGAAACGCTAGCATCTGGACTTCTGGAACAACTTCTGTTGCATTTTCCTGAAGTAAAAGATTTGTCCTCAAAAGGATCCAGTTTTCATTTCAAACTTCATCCACCTGACAATGTTATTGGTGCTGAATGGTTCACAAAAGCTACATTTACAAGGTTCTTACTTCTTGTTTCATACTCACCCAAATTTTTTTGGGTATGGAATCTGTGGATGCCCCATTTTTCTGTTACTGAATGATTTTACTTCTTGTCAGATTTCTATGTATTGTTGGTTCTCCTGAAAAACTTAGTAGCACCAATGCTATTGTAAATGAGATATCTCAACTAGAGGAAGCCAAGGGATTTCATCTTTCCTTATATGCAAAGGTGATGTCTTATACTGTTTCCTCGAATGATCTTTAAATTTGTGTTTAACTCATCAGCAAAGCTGAAATCGATTGGTTTTTTCCTTTCCACATTGAGTATGTTGTTTAAAATTTACGAGATGCCCATACATATTTGTTCTTGGCATCTAATGATTCCTGGTTTTCAATAGGCTGAAGTTGATGTTGCCCCATCAGATGCTTCAAAGTATGTTCCTTTGTTTTTTTTTGAATCTGATGGGTATTTTCAATGGGCGCATCTCCTCTAATTTAGATTGAACATTTACAGAAATGATCTGCTACGAGCAATGGAGTTGAGGCTCACAGCTTTAACACAAGAATTAGCGGCTGCTTTCAACCGTGCTGCTGGTGTCACCTGCTCTCTTAAGGAGATCAATGACTTGGAAAAACTTTCTCATCATTTTGGAGCCATAGATTTGAGGTACTTTAGCCACAATATAGAATATATTTGGATGCGCCAGTTTTGAGTATTCACCATAAATTTGTAAAGCATTGTTTTGGTTCCCTCCCTCCCTATGTATGTGTGTGTGTGTGGTGACGATACAAATTTCAACATGCCCTAACAATTGGATAGTGACTTTCAAGATTATGTTTATTGAATTTATTTCAGGAAATTTTTTGCTAAGTTTGTAGATCTGTGCCAAAAGAGCCCGATTGCTGATTTTTCGAGTGATAATAAGTCTCTCGCGACAAATGATTCAAGGAATGGCAGAATCAGTTATACGGCAGGGAGTACGCAGACCTCCAAAGCGTCACACTCCGATACACCGGTAAAGTATGGTGTATCTCCTGCAAAAGTTGCACAGGTTGAAAGACAAAGCTCATCTGAAAGTGAGGAATCTTCGTACACAAGTGAGGAGGATCGGCCAACCGTTGAAAGAAGTAGGACCCTAGCGAGATCTGCATCGCCTAGAAGGTCGGCCTCTCCTATGCGGAGGATCCAAGTTGGGCGATCTGGATCACATAGGGCCACAGCACTAACCATTAAGAGCCTGAATCTTTTTTCTGCTAGAGAAAGGGTGGTGTCTCACAGTGATGGAGCTGCAAACAGTAGTGAAGAGGAAGGATCTGAGCAACCCAATAAAAGAAACGGTGTGCAAAGAATGAGTGTGCAAGATAAAATCAATCTTTTTGAAAGCAAACAGGGACACAAAACTGTAGATATTCAGAAGTCAGGTGCCTCTGTTGGTGCCAATAAATCAGTACTAAGAAGATGGAGTGCAGGAATGGGGGAAAGTTCTGCACAATCCATCCCAGATAATGTGTGTGAAGGATCTGTCCCGATGATTCCCCACAGTTCAGCCATTGCAGAGCTTCCGAAGAGCACACAAGAAGTGAAACCAAGGCCTGATGTTATTTCTGGAGGTTCCAGCCTTGTAGAGACTGCTGAGGTAGATGCCAAATCAGACTTATTGGGAAAAAGAGCAAGTAATCCAATAGGTATGCTAGCAGATACTCTTGTAACCCAAAGAGAAGAAAGCAGTGAAAAATTAATTGCCTCAGCTGAATGGAATCTACAGAAGGAAGCAGAGTTGAACCAGTTGCTGATGAAAATGATGGAAAATAAGCCTGTCAGATATCAGAATACAGGACCCGATAGTGGTAAATGCCAAAATGTTCCCAGTGAGCCGATAGGTGGATTTATTGACCACTCTAAAGAAAAGAGGGGTGAGAAACTTCGAGGAGAAGCTTCTGGAAAGCAAGCTGAAAAGGAAGCACAGTTTAGAGCAATGCAGCAAATTCTTGATGTAAGAAAAGCTGAAATGGCCCCTGCAACTGCAAATGATGTTGGCAGAAGACATACTGCAAGTAAACCCCAAAAGCCGAGGAAAAATTGTCTTCAATCTGCAAATCCCAAGAAGGAAACCTCAAAACCTGCTGTTGAGAGGAAAAAATCTTCACCTAGACTGTCTCCACTGCCTGCTACACGTAAGTCGTGGCCATCAACGCCTTCACCAAGAACTACAGGAACATCACCAGCTAGGACTCCTGCTGGGACTACTTCTGCTGGTACCACTTTTACACGTCAGAAACTGCAACCAGCACCATCTGTTCCTCGATCAAGCCCAAAAGTGGAAAGACCACCACCACGAACAAAGACTGTGAAGGCAACTGAAAATGATCCCAAGAGCATTAAGGTTGTCAATGAGAAGCAGCTGCAAACTGTGACTGAGAAGAAGCTGCAACCATTGACAAGAAATGGGAAACCAAGAAAAGCCAAAGTTCAGACGACTTGTGTGGATCAATCATCCATGACGAAGCCCCGTTCCTATAGCAAGGTGACGAAGAAGAGCAGTGTGGTGCCACTAGAATCGAAGCCATTTCTCCGTAAGGGCTCTAGAATAGGCCATGTTATTGGTCCAGTCGTCAAGACAAAGATTCCTTCTCGGCCTGAGGATTCTTTGGGAAACTCTGGTGATCTGGTCCAAACTGAGGAGAGTGAGGTGGTGGTAACTGGCACTTCTGATTTGGTCACTCAGCAGCAGGAGAGGAATCTTGAAGCACAGGAAATCCATGCTCCCTTGGAATCCAACACTACACTAACAAATATCCCCCAGAAATGTGAAGACACAGAGAGCACTATCCTACTTACTGCCAGTAGTCATGATAGCTTTGCAGGAATGGCAGGATCTTTGTTAACAACTAAAGCTGGAGAAGTAACAATCATCTCCCCAGGAGCATGGGTGGAAATAGCAGAGATCCAGGACCAGTCTATTCCATGCCATGATAGCACTTCACAAATTTCATCTTCAACCAAGATTGCCCCAGTGGTGGTGTCAAGTCCACGTGTTCACCACTCTCTTTCGCAAATGCTGCTTGAGGAGAACAATGAACCGGACATTATTGAGTGGGGAATTGCAGAGAATCCCCCTACCTCGATCTGCCAAAAAGATGCACCGAAAGGATTGAAGAGGCTCTTGAACTTTGCTCGAAAAAGTAAGCCTGATGCAAATTTGACTGGTTGGTCTAGCCCATCTGTCTTTTCTGAGGGAGAGGACGATGCTGAGGATTCCAGAGCTGTTAGTAAGAAAAATGCTGACCATCTCCGGAGGAACGCTGCCCTTCATGCTAGGAACTATGGCCAGTCAAATGGTGAAGCCTATGAGAAAAATTCAGCTGCTCATGAACTCTCTGGTACGTATGCTTTTATTTGCTGCTTTACATTCTTTCTACCCATATGCATTGAAGTAGATAATTCAAAACTTCCGGTTGCTTCAAGTTTTACAAGCGTAGAAAACTTTTAAAGCATTCTTCTCTTTTTCTTTTCCTCTTTTACCCAGCTCTCTTTATCTGCATAAACTTGCTAGTTTTTTGAAAATTGTTACTGCACTGTGTCTAGCCTAATCAAGATCCTGGTACTATACCATAATGGAATCTTATGCATGCAGCTCAATCAAAGAAAAACAAATCCAATGCTCAGAGTTCTTCTCTCAAGTTGCAGGAGGGCCACATCTCTACTTCAGCTACCACAGTAAAAGGTAAGTCTTGTTTTCTGGCTCGAAGTTCGTTAGTCTTTTTCTTATGTTAGTACTCAATTCTTTTCATTTGATAGTGACACAACACTTTTTATCTGTGTCAATTCCAATGTTGTCGACTATTTTTGTGTTTCCAGCACCAAGGTCATTCTTCTCTCTTTCAGCATTTAGGGGCAGCAAGCCGAATGAAACCAGGTTCCGATAAACCAAAGGACAATTTGGAAGGATGAGAGTTGTAAGTTGTCACACAAACCTTTCTCCACGACTACGGCTGAATTTTGATTCAAAGCAGATGTATGTTTTCTCTTCCTCCTTTCACCTTCTAGATGTCGGGCAATGTGATCCCTCTTTTTCTCCACGGTGTGTTACTTTCATGTAGTCGCACATTTTCATGCAGCAAACATTTGCATATATCCTGTAGCAGCTTAGATTAACTTAGGCATCTCCCTTTAGGGAAAACACCAAAGAATTTGTCATTTGTTTAGTCAGCTGACCTTTTTGTTTATACATGTTGCGTAATAAGGTGTACTTTGCTTCCTTTTTCACTTAAATTCATGGACTATTCTCATACTGCATTTTATTACTCAGCAACGATTCAATCATAGTTTTGTTTGCTGTCTTGCTGCGGTGGCTGTTGTGGCAACCTTAATTTAATAGCCACGAGCAGCAGACTATTTTTTTAACACCTTGTAATTCCCACTTCTTTATGGAGAACTTCATCTCTGCAAATACATTGGTCCACTCTTACACAAAATTGATGTGGAACACTAGAAGCTGTCAAGCCAAAATAGGCCCATTGAGAGTGTACCGTGTGTTCTATAATACCAGTATCACAGGTTTGAACAATGACTAGTATTTTCATGTGGGAATAAAACTGCTTACATGCATAAGCTCGTACTGTCAAAAACCTTGGCATGGGCCGAGTGTTTCTCCATATACAGGTAAAAAGCGACAAGTACCAATGCATCATTGAATATCATTAAGACTGACAAATTCTTCAGCAATGCTCTAATAATCCATTGAACCACAAATGGCAATATTTGCCTAGGCTATGAACCATGTTCTGAATTGATCATTGCTGGATTAATTGGCAAGAACACAAAAAGGGTCTTAAAGAACAGTATTGCTGGCTTCTCTCTTTAGGTCCTGCAAATGTGGGAATATGACGTTCGCATGTGGTCCATAATATCGTGAAAATATTGCGTCCGCCCGTTTTATGCTGTGCACAGCTGAAGGGTCACCCAAGGCTAGCTGAATGGATGCAAGTTTAAGCAACTCATTTCCGATGACAAGGTGGTTTGGCTCATAAAGCTTTTCAAGGATCTGTTAAGACTCAGGTAGAAATTCTCAATTAGATTCATTATTGTAGCAAAGTAGCGAAAGATAAATAGCACACAAACAATAATTATCTTAAGGAAGGAGGATATGATAACCCATGTTTAAATGAAAGGCTCACATCAATTGACACTTCACAGTGATCTCTTGCGGGTTGTAGTTGTCCAACCAAACACAATGCCTGTGCAAGATGGTCCTCCGCCTGAAAATATTACATTATATATGATCACGTTAATATTTTTGCAGCTGTAACAATTGTTTCAGTTGAAATCCTCAAACTAAAGGTCAGATGCGATATGAAACAGAGCCACAATAGCTCAGGCAGTGTTAACCATACACACCAGTTACCCAGCATGAATACAGGATGATCCATTCATAACAAAGATCAGGTTGCTCCTCCGAACAACAAAAAAGGAGCCAACTAAAGGAAGCATAGAACTCACCTCTGCAATTTTCTTGTTATAGGCATGCGTTGTTGACCTCAACATATCAAGAGACCCCAAGGCATCGGAAAGTATATTAGTTGGGACTTCATTAGCAGCTATTGCGTCCTCCAACCTGTCAAGTTACACGCCGACATGAAAAATTACCAAACATGACTAGGATGATTTGGAAGATCAAATCTTGTTTGGTGGGGGGCTATATACAGGGAAAGAAGATCATCAATCTAACGCAATCAAAAAAACCGACAACGAAATAAATAAACCATGCCTTCTGATAGACATCACAGCTTTGTTGACTGTAGCACTTGAAGCTTCCAGATCGCGGTAAGAACCACAACACAGGCAACATCCAGGTTCAAATTGATGGGTGCTACTAGTTTCTTCAAACAAATGGCAGGCCACCATATAGAGGTCGTCATCATTTTTGAGCTTCCTGACCTTCAAAATGTAGGGAAATTCAGGGGAAAAAAGCTGACAAGATTAATTTAGCCCACAGCATGTATAAGGATGCCAAAAATGAGATGTCTATACAAAGAAATTAAACCATAGCACTGACGAGTTCCACATTCATATGCCAAAAATCAATTGATGCAACAAATTTGACCTGTTATTTCCAGCTTTCTTACATGTATATCTTTTGCATGCCAAAAATAAGGGGAAAAAAAAAAGTGGTCTGTCCCATCATCATGGTTTTTGGATTAGAAAGCTTGTCTTGGACAAATCTATCAGTGGCGTCTAATTTGGTCACTCTTTGTGGACCTCAGTTAAGAACTTTCAAGCAATCACCAGGCTAGTTTTGACGCACCCTGTCACCTACTGAATTTATACTTCTAAAAAAACCTTTCCATTTTCTAAAAGAGTTTCACAGACTACTACCTGGAGATAGAGAGTACCTGGGCATCAAGGAAGGCGTTGACTTTCTGTTTCTCATACTTGGCAACATGGCTATCTAACACTACACCGAAGCAGCATGGTTGAACACACCGAAACGCATTTAAAACAAGGTCAGATAGGTTCAATTCTGCACAACCATTGCATTGACATCTAAATGAGTATTGGTCTTTAAGGAGCCGTTGGCGATTGTTACAGTCCCACTGCCCAACCTGCAAAAAAAATAAAATAAAATCTACCCGCTGAACAACCCGGGCGCCCCAAATTTGAAATAACAGCAGCAGTTCTAGGCAGATCAGAACAAGCTGAAGTATATAGGTCTATAGTGGGCTCAAAAATGCCTAAAACTCAACTGAGAAACAGTGGGTCATTATTCACCATACAACCACATCTAGTGTCATATTTCTTTCAAAGCCTTGGAGATCATGTTGAAAATTACAGTGTTGTAATTTGAATATCCTTGATGAAAAAAGTAAAAGTCAAATGCTAGCTATCAAGAGTAAGAATACCTGTGGCCCATAAGACAGTTCCAGGGGGCACCCTGCCACCACAAATTCTGTTGATCGTATGTAGAGAGTACGCGAAAGGAAATATGAATGGATGTTAGGCTTGCAAGAATGGTTAAATAAACTGCCAGATGAATAAATTGCTTGGCCCACTCTGACCTATAACAGTGTCAGCCATAAAACAGCACAATCAGAGAACAGAACTTTGTATTTTAACTTGAGTTTAAAATTTAGGAATCAGAAACACTTCCATTTAATCATAGTGAAAATGTATTTTTCTTGGCAAACTCCTCGATAGTACATCTCCTGAGACTTATAGACTACCACGGGCAAGGTCCACGCTTGCTAATTGTGCTTGCTGCAAAGGGGCTACAAATAATTTTTCTAAGTGAACTCTTAATGCTCATGTAGGTTTATAACAAAAGAGGCCAACTTTTCCTTCATTCTCCATTTCACACGTCTTGGCACATTGTTTGATCTAGTCTGTGAATGGGAGGGAGGATAGATTCTTCCTAAAGGAAGTTATTGATAGACTTAATGGCACAGTTTGAGACTTTGCCTCCACAAAAGTAAGTTTATCTTAACCAACTTCATCTTCATCTTCTTGCCTTTGGGAAAGAATATTTTGAATATCTTATAAGGAAAAATAAAAATATGTCTTGCACATCGATGTAGTTTACATGATCCAAGCCAAGTAAGAATGCATATTAACCTCACTGGTGGGCCATGTGAAAATGTTCTTCATATGTTGACAGAAGTTATGGTGAAATTTTGTTCTGCTTCTTTAAACTAGGTGAGGAACAGTTCCTAGGGCCTATTCAGTTTTTGATTAGAGTAGATATTAACATCACTTATAAATTTCCTTAGTTAGAATTACATGAAAAATTATTTTCTAATTTTCCTTTCATTTATTTAGTTTTTGTATATGAGCAATTATGTGATATAATCAAGGCAGCTTTAGGTTATGCATTACAAAAATTAAGGCACTAATTAGAAAAAACTAGTATACACATGAACCTGTTCCATGGTACTGGTTAAGGAATCCCCAGCCGAAGAGAACATTCGAGAATGAACCTGCGGTCCATCCACATCAATAAAATTCATACGGACAACTGCCATAGAATTGAATTTGATTTTCGATAGAAGCATAACACACTGCATAGAGGATAAAAAAGAGAAGGTAAATGTAAATCTATATTTTCCTCTACATAAAATTTCATGTTCTCATTGAAAAATGAAATATCCACCAAATCAAGATATGGAGTGGTTTGTTCTGATATGACAATGACAATATTTGATCTTGGCCAATGCATGATATCGCATGTGTTTTTCAGAAGCATAAATTTGAACTGTGTCAAAAAAATTACCAAAAAATCCACTTAAAGGTGTATAACTAGAATTCAATTATATAGAGGTCTGCAAGAAAAAAATATACAAAATAAGGGCAGGGGGGAGGGGTGTCACCTGTGCAATAGTGACTCCATTCATTGGACATTCAGAGCCATAAGAAAGTTGTAGACAGTACAGCAAAATGATGGAATAAATATGAAAATCCAATTTGCTTTCTGAAGGCAGTTGTACATAATTGTTACAAAGATCCTAAAAGAGAATGAAGGGCACCAGCTGCCAAGTCAGAATCTTTCACAAAACAATAAGACACAGAGCCAGACAAAACATCGTAAAAAATAGTTCTAAGTACCAGAGATCCACTGAAGCAAGAAGTAGCGCTAAAATGCCTTTGATGTTCTACAGACTTCACAAGAACTCGACCAGCCAAAACAATATCAGATGGCAATACTGCAGGCCAATTGACTCCTTGACACTCGTGTCTATGTTCTGGAAGGCACTCAGTCCCCAGAACAGAAACACCAGCTAAAATGATGTCTGCAATATACTTTTCAAGATCACCTGATAAATTAGCATGAACGCCATAACTTTTTAAATCGTTCCTCAACCTTTTTCCTCCTGCCTGTACTTGACATTGCTGAGAGCAGTACAACGGCATCGAACATGATGGACAGGGGACTGTATCTGCTGGTAGCTTATTCAAGCAGAAATGACAATGAGTTTCTCGACAAGGCTTCAATATGATCTGCATGAATCAACTGTGGCAATAAGGATTACAACCAATGCAGCAGGAATTAGTATGGGCAGCAGCTAATAACAACAGCAGAGAACTAAAACGACAGCCAATGCCAGGATAATAATTCCATTTAATGTAATTGGATGAAAAATACATATTTCCTTCCACTTAAGCAAGGACACTGACAGGGAGGAATATCTCCAGAAGGTGCCAAATTAAGTAGACTACATGCATCGTGTAAATATTTCTTGTCTACACACAGGTACAATATACCCACAAACACTCTCTCTCCACGCAGACATTGGGGATTGCCCATGGTAGAATATACATTTAATATTTACTTAATCTGCACTTGACATGACTTCAAAACACTATCAGTCCATTGTTTTGAGTTTGAAATTGTCATGCCCCGATTTTTTTTCTCTAAAAATAATCGGGCGTGATTAAGAAATAAACCCATCTATCACACATAATAACTTTCCTCATATTATTATTAAACCATTAAAACATATCCTAAATAAAGTTACATTCCTAAACATAACATCATCAAAACATGATCACATAGGCATTCCAACATAAAGAGAAATAGTAGTAATAGCTTCTATCTGCAGTCTTCCCAGCCTACTCCACTGGATTCCTACTTGCTTCTGAAAAGAAAATGTTAAATAGAGATAAGCCCATTAGTCTAGTAGGATAACTTTTATCAATGACTATCAAGGTTTTAAAATAATATATAAATATAATCAAATAATAAACAAGTGCAGCAATAGATCAAATTAAAATCACACGAATGCAACACATATTCTGGTCCACACATGAACCATCTCCGGATAATAAAATCACATATCAATAATAATCATTCGTCAATTTTTTGGTTCACGCAAAAAACCTTGGGGTCTTACACTCGAGAGAACCCGATACCCTTCTTACTTTTCTGGGAATACCAATACCAGGATTCTGCGGTGCCACACTGGCTACCAATATCAATTTATATTACTAACTAGTGAAACCAATGACTAGTAGAAATCTTGTGAATTCTCGCAAGGACCACACATCTACTAACCCTCTCCCATCAATAGTGTGCATTCAAGGTAATTTCATCAAAATTCATAAAGCAGAGTCATATCATATTAATATTAAGATCCAACAGCAATTAGAAAGTCAAACATTAAATAAATTTATTAGAATAAAATGAAAAATATTTTATATACAACTTGGTTCCACAAGATAATTAGAGTTTCGATCCAAAACATCACATATGCAAAAACCACGATATAATTTTTAAAAACTCAAATCCAACCCCATGGATAATGTAAACTATTATATAAGTGTTATATGATAAACAAAAGTTTGATATGAAACCCCTAAATATGCATGAGATGCATCAATGACAATAAAAGATAAAAAAATCCTACCTTTGATGCTACCTCAAATTGATACCATATACTGTGATAAAATAAAGTGGAATAATATTTTAGAATAAAAATAAGTAAAAACAACTTAGTTAAACTAAAAATAATTTTTGCAGTAACTAATGAATAATGATACCTGAATTTGATTTAAAAGTATTTAACGAGAATCAAATTCAAGTGATTTAAACTTATAAAATTACTAAATCATAAGTCAAAAATCTTACCCATATATTTGATCATAAACACGAACTCTAAGGTCGACAAAATTTTGATTTCTCCATCTCTTTCTTTCCCCCCCTCTCTCTCTCCTTTTTTCTCCCTTTTTCTTGTGTTGCCCGAATGGCCACTGGCCAAGGCTATTTATAGCCAAATTTTGTGCTTATGTGACGTTCCAATGGTGAAGCAATGGCTTGCTGTCCATGCCTTGCCCACAGATAATGCAAACTATTATTTAAGTGTTATATAATAAACATAGGTTTGATATGAAACCCTCAAATATACATGATATATATCAATGACAGTATAAAAAAAAAAAAAAAAACCCTACCTCTAATGCTACCTCAAAACGATACCGTGTGCTTTGATAAAATAAAGCGGAATAATATTTTAGAATAAAAATAGGTAAAAATGACGTAGTTAAACTAAGAATAATTTTTGGAGTAACTAACAAAAAATAATGATACCTGAATTTGATCTAAAATATTTAACGAGGATCAAATTCAAGTGATTTGAACTTATAAAATTATTAAATCATAACTCAAAAATTTTGCCCAAATTTTTTATCATAAACACGAACTCTTGGGTTGACAAAATTTTGACCATTTTTCTCCTTTCTCCGTCTCTTCCTTCCCCTCTCTCTCTTTCTTCCTTTCTCTCTCCTTTTTCTCCCGTTTTCTATGTTGCCCAAATGGACACTGGCCAAGTATTCCCCCCCCCCTCTCCCCCTCATTTTTTTTGGAAGACATTTGTCATTTCTTTGTGGTCTTATTTCCCATTTTCAAGACAAGTGTCCTTTTATAAGTTTCTATCTATATATATTATATATATCACATATATTACACATCTATTTTATCATTTGGATACTTTCAATCCAAAATATAACCTATATTATACCCATTTGACTCGTTTTCACGCAAAAAATTTATACTTGATGTCCATTTGTTCATTTGAAATTTAAAAATAACTTTTAATTATATGGAATCGTAGCTAACGACATAATTAACATGTTAGTGACTAATTTTTATACGGGTTGTCATAGTAATTCTATTTGTCAATTTTTATTCCTGCTCACCTATTCTTGCTTGCATTTCTCTTACCCAAGTTATACCTGAATATTTGATTCTTTCACACAAAGAAGCATTGCTTTCGATGATCATCGGATTGGATTCTAGGGATTTCCAGTAGTTGTAAAAAGCAACCATGTGTTTTCTCTTTGGACCCCAGAAGATGCCGCATAGCTTCTCAGTCATTGTAATATGAGGGTTCTGCTAGGAAATGTGGGCCAGACGTATTGTTGTTTCTCTCAATTTGGTTTAAGCATATGAACATGTTCATTTGGGGAAACTCATATCACGCATGGGCTTAGTGTCTCCAAGAATAATATTCGACATACTCCAACAGTGAAATATAACTGCTACCAACACATAATGGCTTCATCAAGACATTCTGAACATAAACTCTGTACTACATGAAAGGAAAAAGAAAGGATTAAATTTATACTACAACAGCAGATTCATAGACAGTTATTCTTAACAAAGCCATACTAGAGACATGAATCGTGATATCATGTATGAGGAAGATATTGACTCGTACCGCAGCATAAGGTTGTTCCGTATGAACTAAAGAAGCTTGAGGAATGTCATTAAGAGAAGCCACACCCCTTCCTTTTGCTGGCGTCCTTACACACTGCAGTTTTATTTGTGGCTCATTTGTAACAGAAGACCTACAGTATAAGAAATCAAGGAAGAAGAAGCTATAACGAATTGTGGTTAACATTAATGTTGCAGATTAAAAATGAAGGTTTTCACTACCCTGCAAAGGCAACTCTCAATTAAATATGACTAAACGGTGAACAAGGGCTAGGCATGTTTAAACTCCCCACCATAGGGAGGTAGTTATTTCTCTTTTACTGCTATCAGCTATTTCCACCAACAAAGGTTCCACATGGCAAATAGTAGAAACAAAAAGTTATCCATAGTATTCCTTCATTGTGCCAAGTGGCAGAAAATTACGTAAGAAATAGAGATAGATAATCTATTTTCCTTGATGAGCTTGACTGCCAGTTGCCTGAATTAATAAGCTTAACTGGAACATCAAATGGTACAGGACATATCAAGTGTACAGTACAAATGGCAACCAGGATTAACTTGAACCAGCAATAGGTTGACTATCAAGTACATGATACAAAAACAGAATATTTAACAAAGGTAAGATCGTACCTGTTCTCATAAGTTTTGTATAGTGAACTGCTACTTCCCTTTTGCTGGCCTATGATTAACTTTAGCTCACTTTCTATCTTTTCCTTTCCACCCGAAGACAATTGCATGTTCATGGCAATGGTCAAGTCACGAACTGCATCTTCTTGATTTAAGGAAGCAGCATTTGCTTTACCTCTCCTGTACCATGCCTGCTTTATAGACATAATTGAAAAATGTCAACCACGATGTGATGCCTGACAGAAAACCTAAATCCACGAACAGAACAACAACATAGAAAGATCTTGTTCTGATTGACTTCGTGCAAGAATAACAAAATGATGAAAGTTCCACTCAAGACTGTCATGTGCAAGGTCTAAAACTGAATTTGTTACAGAAGAAAGCCACCACAATAGGATTTCTCAATCAAATCATGAGATCGTGACGGCTATTGGGGTTGGACTAGCACACAAGTGTTGTTTGAGTGAAAAAGACAGTTTTCATAGAATTACTTTCAGAAATACTGGATTTCTCAGTTGAGTTTGGCTCAAATCCAACATATCCTATATTCCGAAACACAAAAAATATGGACAAGGAAAGAAGTTGATGAATACATAACTAAGGTCTATTCCCAGCAGACAACATCGGACACAGATTTATTCAGATAGATTAAAAGTCTTCACCTTTGCATAGCTTGGAGAAATAACAAGAGCTCGATCACAGTCTCGTAGGCACTCCACTTGAAGACCCATTTTCTAAAAAGAAGGTATAGCACATTGTTAGTAAATGAAGCAACCCTTTTCTTCTTTTAAATACATTAGTGCATCAAAAGTTCCTTTTTTCCAGTATTCACAAAACCTCATTAGTTTAGTAGTCTCCCATCACCTTCCTGTTCCTCGTATATTCCACATCTTTAATGAGCTCTATCCTATAGAGTATTGACAGGTGAATCTCTTCAATTTAGTTTAATTTTGCTTTGGATAACTTTTGGACGTGTGATTCTCTCTTACATACAATTATAAGAGTATTGCTAAAGCCACCAGTAACCAAAATATTGTCAACTAAGAGCATTATCACCTGGAACCTATAATGGGAACTTATGGCCCAATAGTGAGGCTGACATAGGATTTCTATCCCTTTCCTCAAGCTGTCAAGCACAAATTGAAATGGTTGACCCCTATCACTGTGACAACCCGTATTAAAATTAATCACTAACACGTTATTTAGGTCATTAATTATGATTCTATATAATTAAGAGTTTTTTTAAAAAATTTCAAATGAACGAATAGACCTTAAATATAAATTATTTGTATGAAAACGAGTCAAATGACTATAATATAAGTCATATTTCACATGAAAATAAAAATGTCATAGTGTCTAAATGATACATTAAACGGGTAATATATAATTTATATATAGATATATATGCAAAACAGGACAGGTGTCAAATGAAAGGGAGCCTAGCCACCATTTAAGTGACAAGTGCTAAACTTTTTTTTAAAAAAAATAAATAAACACACACCAAAATGGACAAGTGTCCATTGAGGTGGCAATTACATCACCATGGTTGCATAAGAAAGGTGCATGCAAGTTTGGAGGCCAAGCAAGTTTGAAACGGGAAACGGGAAAGAGAGAGAGGGGAAGAGAAATACAAAGAGATGAGGAAAAAAATAGGAAAAAAAATTTATGAGATTTTAGGATTAAAAAATTGAGTGGTGATTTTTATTTTAAAATTTAATTATTTGATTTGTGGTATTTTGAATTTCATATCTATCAGAGTCATTGATAGATTTAAGGTACGAGATAGTATATATTATGCTCCTATTTTTTAAATCTCTTTGCAACGAGTATTCTTTTGATTGTCCTAAATTTGTATTCCTGTTGGGTATTTTCTGTCAATATGAGATTCTGAAATTTTTATTGATCTAATCTATATTGTGGGCTAAATATTTAAAATTGATTGGTACATGTACGAAATGTGCTCGAGACAAAGTTTGTGAAATATAGTTGTGGCCCTGCGAGGTGGAATTGTTCGATTTGATTTTAGCCCTATGCAGTGTAATAGTTCGATATAAGTATGATATTTAATTGTCTATTCGTCACTTGTTACATCACCAATATAAACTAATTATGAGGCTATGTTTAATAACAATTGAGTTATGTGACCAATCGAAATGAATTTTTGATTCTTTTATTTATGATTGTCTATCGATTGAATTATTTGGTATTTGATCATTTATATTTTTTTTTATCGTTGAGCGTATTATTTCTTATCATATTATATGCTTTTCCGCTTTTAATATTTTTCAAGATGATCTCAGAGGAAAAGATCAAAGTGAATATTTGAGGAATTGAGGATTAACGAATCTCGATATAATTTTTATTAAAATTACAAGTTTTATTAGTTTTTGACAATCAACTTTGTAATTATAATTTTTATTGAAATAATTAGAGCTCTGGTATTGTATTTAGAGATATTTGTGGTTAATTATTGTCGATTGATTTATCAAGTAAACCGCAACAAAACTTGGGCGTTACAATCACAAATTAGGGGCCAGATTGGTGAGATCCTCTTATAACCAACAATCACACTGACAAATAATGATATTATTGAAGCCAAGGGCGGAACCAGGAAATTGTTTCCCGGTGGGCACTGTATATTTTAACAAGTGTAATTTTTTTCTTGTAATCAATAAAAATAGAATAATACATTTATATTTAATTATATTCTATTTAATTTTTAAAAGTTCATTAAACTTAAAAGACTAAAATTGCTAAGCATAGTAGATACAAATGACAAAAAAAAAAGTTAATTATGTCATTTTACCAAACAAAGTCTAATTAAAACTATTTAGAATTGATTTTGATGAATTTTTATACGTTGAAAGTCTTGCAGTAACTTTATTATTATTTATATCCACAATCATATTATCACTTAACTATTTATCATTCATTCGATTACATAATAAAATATATTCTCTATCATATCGGTGATAATTACTAAAATAAATGATAAAATTATAAGTAAACTCATGGATATATCATACCTTTTTTGGTCTTGACTAAAAAATAGGGTGGACACAATTTAATGTATTGAAAAAATACTTAAAATATATATAAGTAATTTAAAAAAAAAAAAAATGAGGGTGGGCATGTGCCCCCATGGACATAAGGTGACTCCGCCCTTTGATCGAAGCTGGTTTATTTTAGGACAAAAACAAATAAGGATTATCATCCAATGAATAATGTGTTACAGGTGGTAATAGCAAAAAGACATCCAGGAATAATATAGTTAGATTGGACGGTTATTTAGATTAATGAAGCCGAATAATCACGAACTAAGTTCAACCTACCTAGTAAACCTCATGCATTATATAACAATCCAGAATCCAATCAACTTTGTTAAATATTAGTGAATCCTATCATAAGAATATGTGGTACACATGGATACAAGAATAGAACTCACATGGAATACAGTTGCACGATTCAGATACAGCGTCGCTACCAGATTTTTTTCCATGCAATCAGCATCATCGGATGGAGCAAGACGCAATGCCTGTTTTTCGGGCGCAAGGGGAAGAACAATAAGGAAAATGCTGGAATTCCCATAACGTGTATCGAAGAAAAACCCTTAGTACATATCAATCACCACACTAACTAGTGGTTAGAAATGGTAAACAGCAAGGCAGAGGCACAGCTACGCTATCAAAGGTTCAACAATTATCAAAGTTACCAAACAGAGAAAACAATGAAGCTGAGCAAAACTAATGCAGCAATCCATTGTAGTCGAAAGAAAGTAAATGAGTAACAGACAATTGTTAGTTGCTGAAGTGTCTTTCCCGCTGAGATAAAGTAACTTAGCCTGAAGCAGAGGTGTTAAAATGACGTGATATAATTAATAAACGAATTAGATACGAGGAAAACTAATTAGAAGAAATAAACAATACGACTTGTTTATATACTAGTTCATACATAACAAGATATGACAAATTTCATGAGTTAATAAATGAATTAAGTATGAGTAGAGTGTTATTTTAACACAAGCCATTGACAGGCCTAACCAGAAGTGACTAAAATTGCATCCCATCAAGGTGAATTCGGTAATTTTACTACTCCATGACAGTACATGATGCACCTTAAAATGCCTTCTCTTCCTGGCCAAACACAAATACAGGGAAAGGGCTCGAGGGAATAAGTTATGACCTGGGAATAGAAACGCAAAGCATCAGGGTAATCTCTTTTGGAGAAACAATCATTGCCCTGGCGCTTCAATTCCAATGCAGAGTCGTTATTCTTGCGGAATAGAGCCGTTTCTGGGTCCCTTAATTCCCTACCAAACTGATACAAGCGAAAACACACCAAATTGAAAGAAGAGTCAGACCGCTCAGCCATTAAGATCATAGAAATTCAATTTACAAAGAAAGAACAGCAAAATAGTCGGTCTATGTTCATGTATATATATGGAGATTACTTGGTGAAACTGAGGAAGTTGACGAAAGAAGTGGAGGAGTAAAGAACATGACATATGAAGATCACCGGGCGTGCTCAATCCGATTCTCTGCTTCAGGGTGTCGGGTACCACTGACCTTAGCTCCTCCATGCCGGAGAAAAATGAGGGGGAAATAGATAACAAAAAGGTTTACTGAAGAAGAACCAAGAACTTTCCAAAAAAAAAAAAGAGCCAAGAACATCTAGAGAGCGTGGCCGTTAGACAGATTAGAGAGAGAAAGAGCAGTGAACCATTTGGGCCAAAAACTGAGGACAAGCCGATGCTGTCGCAGTAGAGTCCGGCCCATTGATGTGTCTAGTTCTGTCAGCCCATACTATTTAATTTAGAAAAAAATTACAGTTAAATAATTAAATTATTTTTTGACAGTAGAACTCTGTGAACAAGGTCACATTGGATCCACCATTAGCGGGCAAATTTTGGATATCGATAATTACTCATTAATTATAGATATTAGATAAATAAATAAATTATTATTGAATTAATTTTACTCACTAGCATAAGATATTTCATAATAGGATAAGTTAAAGGAATCTTTTAATTAATCTTATTCTATTAGGTTTCTTTGAAGTTAGCTTAAATATGTAATTAATTTTTAAGGAATTTGGAATAAAATAAAACAAATCCGTTTAGGCATTGGTTTATTTACCAGCCTTATACGACAGTCTTTTGGACCTAAAAAAACTTAATTAAGTTGATTCAAGCAGTTAATTTTATAAACTTTCCTTTCAGTTTTTTGGAAATTTTGTTACGAGTTTTACCAATTTTTTTAGTTTATTATATTCATAAAATATTATTAATAACATAAACAAATTTGAAATTCATATTTTTAAAATTATTATGCATAATTTATACATACATGTAATTATTTTTTTATTTTTAACTTTTTAAAAAACACCCAAACAATTTTTGGAGACTTTTTTAACTTTGAATTTGTTTTAAAATTTTGTAAACCGTAATTTTTCATCTTAAAAAATCAGCTCCGGAATGAATTAAATTGCTTAAAGGAAGCAAGAAAATAAGGGGAATTTAGCATTCTTTTTCCGTCATGGATTCTGTTATCATTTTTTGGGTTTCTAACTACATTCTTCTTGAAAAATTACCCAAAACCCATTGTAGAATTCACAATTTCACGTTATAATGCTTTTACATCATCTCCTACACATATAAAATCGTCATTTATACTTCAACTGCAGACAAAAATCATTCAGCCTCTCTGACTCATCTGTTTCACTTTCCAAGTATATTTCTGCAGCTTCACTGCCTGTTACTCACCCCTCTTCTTCCTCTCTTCACCTCCTCTCTTTTTCTCTTTCCCACTCGCAGCTCAAGCCATTGCCACATAACCTCTGTGGCTCCAAAGCATTCTACCGTTGTAGTCATCTATTTCGAAATTTGACAAAAGCACTACACATTTATGATATGTCTACTGGTTCCTCTCAGGATACCGAATAAGTTCTGTACAAGGTCAAGCATAAGGCTAGCAAAATCGAGTTTGGTTCTCAAGCCTGGTTGCATTGCACTCCTTAAAGCAAGTGAATGAAATTTACACTAATGATCAGTGTGTTCAGGCAAAGATATGCCTACATAAACAAAAGTTCAATCAGGCAGTTTTAGGGGAAGAACATCCAACTTCAACAAAGCAAAAAGTAAGCAAGACAGATAGCAGCCAACGGGACTTGTTACACCCCTTTTAGTGCAACCCTGTAATCCCACATCACTCACACGTACCAACTCAACATGAACATTGAATATGAGCTTACCTCCAGCAAAGCAAACAATGACCAATATAACTAATTTTTTTTATTATAAGAAAGAGATAACGAAGTTCAAACTCGCAATCATAATATCTAATAGCATGTACGGTTATTATTAGATCAACCGTTAATTTAATTAGGAGTAAATATTTAGTCCTCAATATTTATTCTTGGACTACACGTCAGTAAAATCACGTGGTTGTTCACAAAGTTGGGATTTCACACCCAGGCCACAGGGGAACAAGGAAAGGCCAGTATCAAAACATAGTCAGTCTAATGGCAAATTAACAATGTGTTCTATTTTCCACATAACTAACTCCATGATAATATATTATTAGGGATTGCCAATATAGCAAGAAGATGATGGTATTAATTCTTAATATTTATCAATCTTCAAGTTTTCTTCTTTAACAAGCAACAGGCAAAACAAAAAGAAGGCAAACCGAGTAGAGAAAAAACTTTTTGAATGAACAATATTATTTGGATTTAATTTGTTGATTTAATTATTTATGATTATTAAAGTGAAAGTGGGTTTTGTATTCTTTGAAATTTCAACTAATTTAATAGTTTTAATTCAATAAATTATGTCAATAAATTAAATAAAATGGTGGAGTTGTTCCAACTTACCCATTTTTTGTAGTTAGTTTTGTAATAGTGTTGTAATGTTTGTGTCGTTGCTACCACCACTGAAGTGCCACACAAGACTTTATGAACGTTCATGGGTTGATGAATGGTCATGTCCCTTCGATTATATCTCTCTCCCGGAGTTTTTCATTCGGTTGCGACGTTTCTTTTTTTATTTTTGGTCATCGGTTGCAACGTTTCACTCTCTTTATACTCTCCTATGGCCTTCGTGACCAATACCCACCCCACATCCTTGTTCATGAACAGGTCTTTCTCTTTGCCTGTCTCTCACCTTTCTTTGTCTGGTTTCATGTTTCATGTTCATTTTTTCAATCCTTTTGTCATTTTCAGGAACGGGTAGGGAAACCGGAAACCTGTAATCGACTGACAAGCCATTGCTTGCACTCACGTCCACTTGGAACCTTTCGATCAATCTGCAATGTTCCCTAACAATGGAGGTTCTCTCTCTCTCTCTCTCTCTCTCTCTCTCTATGAAAGTACTTGCGTTCATATATATAACTATATAGTTATATTCTATGCAGCGGCTAACGATTCAAGGAAGAGGAAGATGAAAGAAGTTGCCCAAACTGGAGTACCTCCATCATCCATCAATCTCTTCTCATCCCTCCAACACCAACATCCTCCACAATCTCTCTTTTCCACAGCTCTTCGCTTGGACCTTAATTGCCAACCACCGCCACAGAAGATAACTACGCCATTCAAGTCCTTCACACCCTTACTAACCCAAGTTGATGCAGAAAACGATCTCTCTTCGAATATTCAAGAACAAAGTGACCAAATTGATCAATTAATGAAAGCCCACGTAAAATTCTTCTCACTTTTTTAATTGGTTCCTCTTATTTTTCGATTTTCTGTATGTAATGTTGGTGGGTATACAAGTAATCAAGTATACATACATGTTCATGCAGGGTGACCAGTTGCGGTACAAGATAGCAGACTTGTGGAGGAAGAACTACACTGATCTCCTGTGCGCAGCGGAAGAGAGAGCGGCGAAGAAACTGAAAGAGAGAGAGTTGGAAATGGCCAACACGACGCGTAGGAACTGTGAGTTGGAAGAGAAGGTGGCGCAGTTTAGAGCGGAGGCGCAGGTTTGGCAGGCCAAAGCGAAGAATTTGGAGCAAACAACGTCGTCTCTGATGGCGGCACTGCAAGAGGCTAAACTGCACGGCGGGAGTGTTGAGGAGGGGAAGAGATTAAGTTGCGCCGGCTGCGAAGGGACGCAGCAAGAGGACGCCGAGTCGTCGTTCGTTGACCCGGATCGAGTTGAGCTAGTGAGGCTGGCGTGCAAAGCGTGTGAGAGGAGAGTCGCGACGGTAATGATGTGGCCGTGCCGACACGTGTGTGTTTGTGTCAGATGCGACGCCGTTTCTAAAGCCTGCCCGGTTTGTCTTTTGCGTAAGACCACTAGCGTTGAAGTCTGTCTCCCTTAAAATACCCACCAAGCCTAAGCCCATTTCTTTATCTAAACACTTGGTTACCTATTTTTTTAAATATATTTTTACCTAAAAACTGATTAGATCATATTTATTTTTAAATAATTATATTGATATATTAGTTCTCTCGATATTATTTTTCATATTAATATAATTTATGTGTGAGTTTGATATTTAGATGATAAAATTTCATCATATTCATACAGTTTGAGTTACCTCATTTTCAGCATGCTATATATGTTTATCTTTACAAAAAAGTGGGTGCTTAAATCAACAATTCTCTTACAGATATGATTGGACAATCGAATCAAATCTTTTAACGAAAATGTTAGGTAATATATTGTAGTGTATAAATATTAAACGTAATGGTAGAAGGGCATGTTACCACAACAAAAAATAAAAAATAAAACCTTGGCAATTCAAGTAAGAATATATTAGATTAGTCCCAATAAGATGGCAGGGAACTGTCTTCCGAGAGAGCCGCTTTTACCTCGGTAATTACCCAAGGAGAGAGCCGAGTCCAAGAACACCCTTGGAGCAATAAATCGTGCCTTTCTTGTGCCTAATAGTAGACAACCTTCCCCATCATTTGATCCTAACCAGTATTCCTGATTTTGGTACCATGAAACATAAAACTTCTGATATGCAAAACTTATCCACACAATCTGAATATAAAGAACATGTTTTGTGACTCGTCTTTGAGTTTACTGATTCTGCTGGTCCTGCATATAAAAAGGATCGGTTTTCAGAAAACCTCTGCTAAGTCTGTTCAATAGAGAGATAAGACGGCCTATACCAGCTTCCCCTGTTTTCCACAGTTCCAAGTCTCCCAGGAAGGAAAGGCTTTGTTGGTGAACCTGTCACGTCATACAGAGATATAGACTAGATACAAACTTGCATATGATTTTCATTAGCAGAAGATGAGTATACAAAATTATGTGAATTTTTGAATCTTAGCCAGGAACACTAACATGAAGTATTAGATTGGGAAAGAATATAATGAGGATGAATATGATATCGGAAAACAAGAAAACCAATATAGATGACCGATATATACAGCGATTAGTAAAATCTTGCGTTGGTACATGGACATTTTCTGTCAACACTTGCTGAAGAAGACATCATACACAGAGAGGTCATGATTTTCTTAATGAAATCAAAGAAATGCTCCAAATGTGCACAATTTTTTATTTGTATGGAAGACGCAAATGAAAATGATGGAGAAAATTAAAAGTAGAACACGTCTATAGCAAATTGAGCTTCTTCAGAGTTGGTTGGAGAAAGGCCCAATGAGCAGCAGATGGTCGGGTTTCTTTGAGGACGAAAGACATCCAATTATGCCCAAACTCTCTTTTTGGGGACCAGATCTGATGTTTTTATCTCATCTATTTTAGCTGCTACAATAAAATCATTCATGCTCAAGCCTCCTGCAATTCGGTTAAAATTATTTTAAAGGCCATGTAGTCAAACAACATAGATGAAACTTCTACAACGGGATTAACACAAGTAACTGACAGTGCAGCATGTGCTATATGAGATGCAAAGCAAACATGTTCATAAGCATTCTCCGGACATACGTGAATCCCAGAATGACTAGGTAAACTTTAAGAGAAGAAATGCAAACAATGCAACAGAATACTAAGAACTCTAGATCATATACCAGGAGAAATATTTGGCCTAGACAATCTCAACTTATGATTCATTCCTATGCACTCCATTTGAGCTCCCCCCCCCCCCCCCCCCACACAAAAAAAAAAAACCAAAAAATAATAAATAAATAAAATCTTATGACACTCCTTGTTACTTCATGCACCATGAGTCAAGTCAAGTATTAAGTTGCCCCCCAAGCAAAAAAAAATTTCCAGATTGGCTCCTCCAATGAAGCAACATGCAAAATATGGCTACTTCGTGGATTGGTACTGGGGCATAAAAGTTGTTTTAGGATGGACAAGTTGTCTATTGGTTTAAGGTGTTTGGCTTCAGATTTTAGATTTTGTCATAAATACCCGTGCGGTAGCTAATGCGCTATGGCAAAAACATGTTTGGATGGAAAGTGTGATAGAAACTGATGGAAGCCACACACTGAAACATGATGCATAATTGGAGGGGCCAGTTGAGTAAATCTTTTGTCTGAGAGGTAAATTGTATGGGTCAATTCAGGGAACAACAATGCCTTTAACCCCAAAAATGAGTGGAATACTAAGTCCCAAGAAACAAACATAATTCCAAATGATCTTCAACATCTACCTAAATATTCAAGCACAAAAATAGTCTTTCTTTTTTTTGGGTCAAATCATGTCACCATGTCAGAGTTTAAATATTGTTTCTAAGTCCAGACCAAGAGGACTAACAAATATGACCTTAAAAGAATCCACAAAGGGAAAAAGAACACTAGGCCACAGTGATACCCAAAGAGAAGTCCTAGATTTTAATAATCTCTAATATATCAAGAGAAGTTTGCATTAAGTTTCTCCCCATTTTGGAATTGTGACTGCAAACTTAATAGGAAAATGGGCCAAAAAGTACGTAAAACAATCAGAAAACAATTGCACTTTTCAGAAACTTCTGCTTACCAATAGATGCAGTCCATAGTTCAGCTCTAACTTGATTGGACTGTTCCAGGTGAAGATTGGGTATGTGCCCTGTAGCTTCAACAACTTTGTATATCCTGTTGATGAGTTCGACCCCACATTTGAAATCTCTGAGCTTCCACAAACATTTTAACCTAAGTCCCCCTTCTTCAGTTAACAGTCTCCATCCGACAATCTACATAGTAACATAACATATTACATAATTGAAATAGAGCAAAGCAAACAAATTGGGTATAGATTCAGGTAGAAAACCAAAAACTCAGCACTGGGTTTAAAACTTAAGCGGCTCTCTTGTGGTATTTTAATGAAAAGCAAAATCATTAAGACATGCATAAGAAAGGATATTCAATCCACTAGTGCAACTGAAGGAATTACCTCTTCTGAATCAGAACAAGAAAGAGCTCATAACCACTGCTTGTGAACAACTCTCCTCAATTGAAAGCGCACCTACTGTTACTAGAAGTCTAATCTCTCTTAGGTCCAGTTTTGATCTCGAACTAACTTACTTAATAGGCCAGAAGAGAGATATTCAAAAAACCCGATTTCCTGTCCATTTTTAAGAACCTGACTCAAGAGAGATAAAAAGACCAGTCCTGCCAACACGCCGCAGAACGGGAGCTTGTGTGGAATTTTTTCTTTCTAACGTAAGAGTGGTAGAACATAACAAAATATTATGGCCGCCTAACATAGGGGCAGAAGGTACAGTAAACTTGGCCAAAATATGACACCTGAAGGGCCTGACATGAACTATCCAATCCGAGTCCGAGTTTACCCCTTGCACTTCAGACAGCCATGCGTAGCATCATAAGGAGGACTTCCCTTTCAAGATACAAAAAGAGTACGGTAAATAGGAGGTTGGTCTTTCTCAACGTGGTGTATAGCACGAAAAACCTTTAATACTTGACAGAAAAAAATAGATATTTTCTTCTCTTCTTTCTCTTTTTCCCTCCAGAAAGAGAAAGGGGGTCTTATGGAGGGAGAGGGGAGGGGAAAGGCTTGGGCCTACCTATCCCAATAGGATCCCATAAAGGAATGGAAGATGTTGAGAGATTTCATATTGCTAGGTTGAAGGGCAGCACTTCCATACGTGATCGTAGTATCTTACGTCGTCTCGTCCCTGCTGCATCAAAGAATACCTATGCACAATATTCTAGTTTCACTGATAAGGAAGATAAAGTTGGGGTGGGGTCCTACGATGTGATACTAAAGTATGACCTGGAGAGATACATGCTAACTAAGGGTAGGAAGCAAGAACTTCTATGTAAATAATTTCAGGGGGTTATAGATCTCTTATACTACCATCGATTGACAGAGTAGAACGACCAGAAAAAGAAGTGAAGTTAGAAAGCCGTATGATAGGTGGTAAGTGGTAACTATCTTGTACGGTTCAAGGGGTAATTGGCGCACTGATTATACACCAAATACCATATTGTTTTATTCATTGCTCAGGTTCCCAAAAGCTGTCAAAGTAATGTACCCAGAATTAATTTTGATATGTCTTTCAAATGTTAAGGGAAAAACAAAGACAGGCTATACAATATGTCTACATCTTTTCAAAAAACTTTATAACACAACCAAAAATTCGGCCTCTCTGTAACATTATCACGAACAGGCTGCAATCATACACAGAGATCCATCAAGCTTCCTAGTAGATGGAAGGGGATGGGAATCGGTAGATGCTAAGCCATTGGGATGTTTGAACCTATGCCTTAGACCTGACAAGAGCTGGTCTTTGCCTCCACAGATGATGTTTCCTACGAGTTTGAACCCCTAACTTGGGTGTTGACAAGTGAGGAGCTGGCCATCCGGGCTAAGCCCTTGGTGTTATAAAAGACTGCAATACTACAAGATTATAAATCAAACCCTAATTGCAAGTCCCAGATTTTCGTGTTTTCATTATACTCAGAAATATATTGTTTAATAGACAACCAAGAATCTCAATTTCCCCATTTTTATAGCTAATCAGACCAATTACATCAAAACAGCCGACAATTGTAACATTGATAACAGTAACACCACCACATCATATGATAAAACTAAATAGTAAAATGCAAAAAAAGTCATATGGGCATTAAGTAATTCACCTTCCTTAACAGTTTATTAGCCTCGTCCTCCGATATAGGAGATTGAAAAGGAGAGATAGGAGCGCAATCTTGTTGGGAAAGAGAAAGAGCAGAGAGCTTGGGGATTAGAATTTTGTGTTCCGTGTCAACATTACCCAAAACTTTCTCCGCAAAATTACTCTCTACCTCTGCGGGAAATGGGTCTCTCGCTCCAAAATCACCCAACAAGTCACTGCCCATAGCAGCAGTTTTGGTGAAAATTCTATTTTGAGTGCCCAGAACTAAGGGGTGTGGATGGTGAACGAGTGGGAGAGAGTTCTGGGTTGGATGTATAGAGATAGAAGAAAAACGAAGAAAAGGACAGACGCATACATTGATGATGGTAGTGGCCATGAGAGAGAACAGAGAGAAATTCACTAGTATGAACGACTGTCTCTCGTCTCTAAGGCGAAGAACAGGGATTGTTTGTCGTTGGTTCTTATCCAGTGACTGGAAGAATTTTAGAAGTCGAACCGCTTCTGTGGTACACACAGGTTGGTTCATAATGGGCCACGTGGACCCTCGAGGACTGTTTTGTTTGGGCCGTTTGTGTCTTACTTGTCCAATCCCACTGCCACTACAACCAGCCCAAATCTTGTCAGAAAATGGAACGGGAGAAATATTTTATTTTATTTGGAAAAAGGAAAATTTGAGATGTTTTTTTTAATAATTAGAAATCGTTGCAAAATCCATGTAAAATATGTACTTAATAAAATTAAGATAATTATCTAAAATAGTTTAAATAAGAATTTTCTTTCAAAAGCTGACAACAAATAGGATTTGTCTACCGTTCTCAAAAAAAAAAAAAAAAAATCGGTAATGTCTTAATATTTATCATTTTTGTGAATTTTTTTTTATCATTATTGTGAATATTTTTATCACTATTGCGATACTAAAAAAAATAGTTACCATAATAATAGTAAAAATACCCACAAAAGTAATACTTTTTTGTACCGAAGAAAAAATGATAAAAATAGTTATCATAAAAGTGAAAAAAAAATCCATAAAATTAGTAAATCACTCATAAAAGTGATAAAAAAAATTTGTCGTAAAATGACCCACAAATTATAATAATACTCGTTAAAGTAGTAAAATTTGTCGAATTTTATGTTTAAATAACTAGCTTGTGCACACGTGTGTTGCACGTCTACTATTTTGTGTTATAATTATTGTTTGTCACTCATGTTAAATATCACAAATTTGACTAACCAAACTCAAAGAAACATTGGACATACCATTTTACTGTTTTTTGTCAACATAAAATTTTTTGTTCTATCACTATTTGTTGCATCCAGAATTGTTGCTAAAACACTTAAGGGATTAACATGGTCAGTGTTAATGAATAAATAATTATAACTGTGACATTGTATGTTCAGGTGGTAGCATATGAGCCGTAATGGGCAACAAACATTTAAAATTTTGAATTTTAGTACAATAGTTTATGTTTGAGAAGGCTACCGTTTTGTTTTAAAAACCAGAAATAGTTCTTTTTATATTCTTATTTTAAGAAAATGTTCTTTTACAACATAAAAAATTGCCGTATTATGAATTTCATTCATAATAATAGTAGCCACATATGCATCTTTCCCATGAAGATGAATTACTTTTCTTCACCCTGGGCATTTCTTGAATTCTTAAAGCAATTTAGACAATAGTCAACTTATATTTTTCTCTGTTTTTATATTTTTTTTTCCTAGACCACCAAAAATCTTGCACATGACTTAATCAATTATAGTCGACAAATCTTGTAGGATCAATTATATCCATATGGGTTTTTATTCGAGAACCAAAAAATTTCGAGAACTTCTATATCGTAATGATTAACAAAAACAAGATGTAAAATTATGCATCAATTTTTTTTTTTTGATATTAAATTATGCATCATTTGACCCACTTAATGTTTGGCATATATTGGTTATTGTCAACTATGTGATCAAATTATATTATATTCGATTTTTTAGGCTCTAGATTTAGGTAAGTGAACAGCCCACAGTCTATGCAACATAAATACCATGGATGTTAAAAGTAATATGTTCATGCTAAAAAAGTAATACCACTAAATCATGACATCTAATACATTGTGCATTAATATGCAATGCCAATTTAGTGTTACTCTAAAACGGAGTGGACTTTAGAGCATTTCTTTGTAGTATTCCTTTGTTACATCTCAGGCTTGTTATAGAGGAACAAGGCAGCCATTTCAAGTGCCAGCCGAAATCCCTTGTAGCCTCTAAGTACCTACACTTAGATGTCTCCGAACAAAATCAATTTATGATTTTGAGCAAAGAAAAAAGGAATTTGAAAAATTGATGCCACATAGAATATAATGATTAAGGAATACTCTTCAAACTTATAACAGTAAAAATGGTTAGCCACGTCATTATTTTAGCATATAGATGAACATATGACCAATACATTATCTATGAGCACTTATCATGGAAAAGAATAAAGAACTAAATTATAATTCAAAATGATCCTTAAAAAAAACAAAAAAAGACTGTGTGTGTCTGTATCTATGTATGTGCATGAAAGAAAAGAAAACTTACATGATCATGGTCCATCTTCTTTGTCACCTTCCAAGAACTAATGATTTTCTCCTTGCAACTAACGTAAAACCTTTCCTGCTATGCATTTGAGAGATAACCATGGGAAAAATGTGAACTTTGTTTTTAAAATAGTTTGTGCAAGCAAAGGAGAGAGTGGTGACAACATATTAAACCAACTATAGTTGAGAGTAAGCTACAAAGAAAGGAACTACAAGATCAAAAGCATAAAAAATTGTGCATAATAATTATAGTCTCCTATAGGTAAAATCAAAATTGAAACTTCTATCACTCGAGTCGATTATGTGGAACTAACCTTTAAACTTGGAGCATTATCGCTGAAGCTTTGATTGTATACCTGAACCTCTAAAGTTGCCCAAACCACATTCCAGCAAGCGGTCATATTATTTGCAAGCTTTTCCCATTTGACTAACCCAAAAAAGTTTTATTGTACCTTTAAACTTGGAGCAATATCGCTGAAACTTTGATTGTATAACTAAACTTCTAAAGTTGCCCAAACCACCTTCTACCAAGCGGGCATATTATTTGCAAGCTTTTCCAATTTGACTGAACCAAAAAAGGTTTTATTTTCATTTATAAGGAAGAGAAGTGCTTATATCAATTGTCTTGTTGAAAATCTACCAGAATTTTCAGAAATTGAGGAGACACACACAAAAAAGTTCACAACTGACATAAAAGATAAAAAATATCAATATATTTAATGCATAACGTATAATTATATTTAATGTATATTCAATTGGGATAGCAAAGAGTCTCTTGAGTTAGTTAAGGACAAGGTAATTTCTTGATTTACACCTTTCTTTACGTGGCCTGTTGAATGTATGTAGAATTTATTGAATATGTGTAAAAGCAACATAACAATCCTTAATAACAATAACAATTACATTTGCAACTAATAGAAAATGTTACTAATAATAAAACTCTAAAAAATAAACAAAAATAGAAATTTAGGTTTACACACAATAGAAAAAAAATGCAAAGTATACTAATACAAACAATTGTAACTGAATTCTTGTAATTAAACAAATTTAAAGGGAGAATAATGGCTTAAGGAGTACCAACTGAACTCTTGCTCAATTTTGTAACTGAATTTTAAAAAATTTATAGAGAAGAGAATGGTTTAAACAGGAAGAGGGAGAGGAGGAAGGTGAAAATAGGGTGAGTGTCTAATTGTTTTTAACCGGCTGCAAATTGCCCAGGAGGGAGGGAGAGAGAGAGAGAGAATTGTAACAACAAGAGAGTGAATGATTTTCTCGTTTAATATGTCATTAATTTTAAGGGATACTTTCATTGTGAGAAGGTATAGTTGGAAAAAAAATGTTTTTCAAGTATTTTGACATTTTAAAATAGTAAGATAGGATTATGAGTTCTTAACGCTCCTCAAGACATGAGGCTTTTGAAATAACAGTTAGGTTTATAATAATTGGTATCAGAGCCGATATTGCATCATGAATTTGAGCACGAAAAGAGCGAGTTATAGATCGAATTAAAATATCTTAATATTATGTATAGACACGAGTTAAACATAAAAAAAAAAAAAAAATACCGTTATAAAGTGGGCCATCTAAGGTCGGTGCCCATAGAATGTCCCACAAGTTCTGGCGTTTACAACGGTTACTTTGAAGGACGCAACTGTAACGTCTTTCACCAAACAGTGGACTATATATCCCGTAGTATGTACTGCTTTAATTACCCTCTACCGTCCTTTTGTTCTTGATTCCAATCCAAACTTTCCTGGAAAATTTCGAACTCCATGGATGACCATCACTTGGAGGAAATCTATCCAACCCCAAGTTCATCATCTTCACCTTCACCTTCACCTTCGACTCCCGCGTCTTCTTCGATTCCCCTCCACCTCTCTGGATTCTTAACTGGTGACACCATTCAAGTTCAAGGAGACACAGAAAATCTGCAATTCTCTGTTCAATTCAATGTCCATCACAAACACAATTCAGACTCTGGGCTTCACCAAAATCCTAGCGCAAATATACCAAAAGAAAATCAAACTTCTCTCAATTCTAGTTCTTCATCATACATGACTCCCAATGCAAACCATGTCGATGAAGATCGAAATGCAAACGCAGAAGCACAGAGCCATGCTATTGATTGGATCCCAAAAACTGAAGGGTGCAACATTGTGACAAGACTGGGAAGTGGGGTTCTGTCCCTGGTTACATACTATCCTAGCAATGGCGGTTTGGTGCGTGGGAATTTAAGCGCAAGGAACGAAGGGGTGTCGAGGAAGAAAGTAATGTTGAAAAGGGTGCTAAGAAGACACAGTTTTCCAATTAGTTCTTATACGTTCTTTGTGATGACTACTTGGGGAATGGTTAGGTCTTCTTCCTTTGGGGAGGCAAGCCAGAGGTTGAGTGAGATGTGGTGCAACCTCCCACATAATGAGAAGAAGGTCCTTATACTCTCCTGGCCTCTCTGATTCCATAAAAATTTATCATATGCAATAAAAGATTTACTGTTTCATATGATGAAAATAATTGTTACAGGTGCTTGAGAACATGGCTTTCAAAGATAATACGAGGTACCAGAGGCAATGCTTCCTGCTGAGAAGCCATGTACGCGACTAATGCAGGCTAGGTGTTTGAAAAATTGTGGCTGATAGGGTCACAGGTAAGGTAATGAAAGTCAAATGAGACAGAAACAATAATTTTGTATCCAAGTTTAGACAAGAATTCATTTTTTTTTTTTGTTATATGCAGAAATAACACATGCTTTTGTTTTCAAGCAGTTATGATTTTGCTACAATTGCCTACAAATCAAGTTAAAAACTATAAATTGGAACAATGAAGAATATGCAGAGTCATTTGATAAGCATATTCATGTAAAATAAATGTCAACATGCAAACTGGGATTGTTGTTCGAATTTGATACTTGTTGTAGAACACTTGACATGCACAAGGCTGACTTAAGATGATTCGGGGGAGTGGTATAAGAACAGATGGATATTTAGAAGCGTAGGTATAGAGAAATAGGTAGAGGTTGATTACCCATTTTTCATAACCTGGTAATTGACACTTCTGAAATCAGTCAATTAGTACTGTATGTTGACTGAAATCTGGTATTCCACCAGCAGAAAAATATTAAAATTCAATATCAAGAGTTGCAAAAGAGTCTTCTGTATGCAAATAAGTATTTGACGAACTCAGTCTATAATTCTATCGTGTCTTTAATTTCTGTTGAAGACCATTTATTCACTGTGCTCTACAACAAAATGCAGATATATAGATATTGCTAATGCTAAAAAGTATTATTAGAAGAATCCATCAATAAGGTTATCGTCAAACGTTATGATACCAACTCAAATTTGAAACAATAATATTGATCAATCAAATGTCCTTTTCTCGAACTGTACATATCCAATCTTTGCACACAATGAAGTTGTAGGCCAGCAGACGGAGATCATGCTTTGCTATGTTATAGGGAGAAAGGCTTTGTATACACATCAAACGCTTCAGTTGCAGTCAGTTGTGGTTCCTGCAAGAAAACAATTGCAAAAAGCAAAGTTTAACATCAGCCAGGCATAGACCATATAGGTCAGAAAGTTCGCTGCTGGAAAAGCAACTTTTGTTGGTTATTCTTAAGAGGCTATTACAGAGGAAACTTAAAATTCAGCATACAGTTGATTGTACAGTCAATGTGTATAGCTTTTAGATAGGCACGAAAACAGATACTGCATCGGACAAATACATGTAGGATGCTAACTCTAATATTCTCAGATATGCACCCGGATAAAAATATCAAATATATGATGCACTGAATGCACGTATAATGTAAACATGAGATCCGCCACCCTAAAGTTGAAAATGTTAGCAACATTTGGAAAGTCAGAATACATTTTGCATCCTATGAACAGTGTACGGGATTATAGACCTAACTTTTTATCAAATTATGCCACCTGCCATCGTTTTCCTTTCTGAGCTGTTAATCCATAACTGAAAAGTATTGCCTTTTGACTGAAAAATTACGACTATACTTTTGCCAAAAAGAAAACAAGAAATTTCAACTCTTCTTGGTTATTTTGCTGCTCTGTTTTACAACTCCCCCTACTTATTATGAGCTTTCATATCCATGCAGTGTCATGCTTGTCGTTACAACCCACAAGAACAGTTTTCAACAGAACATTCAAGCAGGAATAAAATGATAAACCAATTCCATGTATGCATTATTTGTGACTACATGTTGGATAAACCTTTCTACAATGTTAGTTTATTTTAGCTTATCCATGTGAATGGTTTTAACAGTACTTGATTAGCGTACAAAATGCAGTTTTGAACCTTGAATCTGTTGCTTGAAGAGAATCGTTATTCTTATACAAATTACTAAAATAATTGCATTATAATGTGTATATTTCCACAAGCCAGCCTTTAATGTATATGTCTCCAAAACTCTGGTAGTAAGACATACCTGTCTCATCCCACTACTAAGACTCCCTCCAGTCAAAAGCATAGTGAGAAGCGATGTCACAACACCACCCCCTAAATCACTTTTGTCTGTATTACGGATAGTAGAACGCATTGCACTTAGAATATTCCCATATGTAGTTCCATGCCCACGTTCAATTGCTTGGATGAAAGAAAAGGTCATTGCACCAGTTGATGTGATTTTTGACAGAACCTGTCCAAATAAAGCTTAGCTATGGATGTTTTTACTCCAGGCAAGCGGAAACTAAAATTCCAAGTAATTCAATCATATTGATAAAGGAAGAAATCAATGAATGACTAAAACTTTACAGATGTATCAGCAGAGGTTTGATCATCATCACAGCCACTGAAGGAAATGACTTCCCCACCATTTGTTCCTTTCCAGACGCCAGATGGAGGACGATGGTCCTCCCATACATAGCGACCACTCCTGTTAAAACGCATTCATATTGATTGGCAATAATTTTTAGAGGAAAAGAGTTGGGGAATGAAAGAAAAAGGAACTCAAATCTCCTGATAAAGTCGAAACACTTGAGGAGAGGTACAATTTATGTAAGTGGTCTGTAAAATTGTTTGGGGTTGTTAGCATAAAGAGCAAACTGACAAAGACTAACCTGTCCATCCTACAAAGATATGGTAAATCCAACATAGTGCCACTGTGGCAAGCATCTATAATAGCATGAAGCTTAACCTCACGAGCAAGAGGTCTGACAATAGTCGCATTGATCTCATCGTCCACAATCATTCCTTGTGCTTCAAAATCTAGTGGACAAAGTGTCTCATCAAATCCATCTACCTCATCTCCAGTGTAATTTCTTTGTTGTGAACCATGGCCAGAATAATGGAAAACTAGGGAATCTCCTGGCTGACAACCTTGTACAAGCCAATGCATTGCCATCCTGATGTTATGTTTTGTTGGACGCCTATATGGATCGGTTTCTTCTTCTGAAATAATACTTTCAACAAAGGGTTCTATTAGAACTAGTCTAACATGAAAAAAATCAACGAACGACGAATATCAGAATATTCAACTAAGAATTTTAATTTGTTTTGCAGGAGGAGGGATCAAACCAGGTATCGCTCTTTTTTGTGGGTAAGTGAACTTCATTGGTGACAGAACTACTACTAGAACTGGTGATAATTAACCACTCAATCATCATGAAAATTTTGGATTCACAAATTATCTCAAAGCCTTTTGGGGTGGAAGCCTGATTTGCCTTATAGAACCAATCTTGGGTAGTATTTGACCTAGAGAAATTTTTTTTTTTGGTTCAACGGTAAAGGGTGTCCGGGCTAGCTTACGTGCACCTCGACTAATCTCTCTCCGGTTCAGTCAATGGCAGGTCATCCTTGCTAGGATTAGGGTATTCATAAGAGATTTATCTCTCATGACCTAGAGAATTGAGGTACTAGGAAATTGAATTACAATTTCATGTTCCAGAGCTACCAATGGATCAATTCTGGGATCATATGCATTCAAGGTTTGTGATTTACATATTTCTTAGGGATAATTTCAATTGTCCCACGTTCAATCCCTAAAGTTTGACAATATGGGAAATTATACTTGAATAAATGCAGAACAAATTAATTTTAGTTAATTACTAAGTGAAACATTAAACACCTCAAAGGGTGATTAATTCAGGAAATTGACAAACAAATTAAGGATCCTATAACATAAATTCAAAGATGCATTTGAACCAAATACCAAGTTAACATCCACAACAATCACTAATCAAAAAGACATAGAATTAGAAATAATTGGAATTAATTTTCAACAGGAAAAGTTAGTAGGAGGAGAGAGAGAAGATATACCAGTGAGCATGAGAATGGAGGACTCAGGGAACTTGAATCGGTTGACCAGCAAGAACTTCATACACTTGGCGTCATTGATGCATCCTTTCAGCTCGTACCTCGAGTTTTTATACGATATCCCGCAAATCACAGCTCTCTTATGGCCGTGGGCCGCCGGAGGTTGACCCTGAGGCGCGTGGTTGTAAGGCGACGGAGCCGACAACACCGGCGGGGGTGGCGGCGGAGCGTAATGGTAGTTGGAGGTGGAGTACGGCGGAGGTGGTGGCGGTGGGCCGCTGCGAGGGTCGGCGATGTGAGTGATGGCGTGACACACGGCGCATATGATTGACTTGGCCCCTGGTGGGAGCTGTAATGGTGTCCTACAGTTTGAACAATTCACTAGCATCAACATTGTAGAGAGGAAGTGCAAGAGAGAGAGAGAGAAGGGTACAGACGACAGAGAGGAAACTGAAGAGGGGTGTGGACAGGGTCAAAGGAAATGGGAGTTGGTATGAACGCGGACAAGGTGGAGAGATAGAGATTGGAGAATGGAAGTTAGGAAGAAGGCGGGTTATAACTTACAAGAGATCGAATGATTGACGAAAGCTTAGATATTGACTTACCAAAGTGGATTTGGCGTCCCAATGGGTGTGTTGTCCGGTTGGAAAGTTACTGACGGGTAACATGCACCAACTATAAATTTAACCCCTGTAACTTTAACTTTAACTTTAAATTTTGATAATTTTAAGAGTTTAGATTATGTTGAATTTATTTTTCATGAATATTTTAATATTAACGTGAATAATTTATCTTTAATCAGAAAAAATAAAAAATTAATAAAAATATACATAAATTAATTTAAACACCTCAAATATATAAACTCACTTGAATACCCGTAACTCTTAATAAAAAAACGAACAGTTACTTATTTTTGGTTCATGTATTGGGGTGGGTTTTATTTCACATGTGAGATTATTATTTGCAACAAATAAGAAAAGAAAGATTAGTGGAGGGGAAATGATGTTTTTGTTAGGTTTTTCTAGAAGATGTTTTATTCTTTTTAAGAAAATTGAGAATACTTGATTTGTTGTTTTTTAACAAAAAGACATTCAGAATGTATCTTTAAACCCATCTGAATTGAAGTCTTAATTGAGACCATCGAATAGGGTACTAGCGATCAAATTTTTTACTTTTAATTTGAATGTTCGAGTATTAGAATTCACATTAAGATTTAGTGATTGATTGTTATGCTAACTTAGTTAGGTTCGTTTTCACAAAAAATAACGGGTGTAATCAGAAGTCTCATGATTCTATCAATAAAGACTTATCGGGATAGTCTTTGAATACTCTATTATTCCCCTAATTTTTATTTCAATAGTTAAAAAAAAATAGCCTCCACTGAGATTTTTCAATCTGACACATGCGTGTAGAATATAACCAATTCTCCCTCGATCTCTTTTATGGTCAAATTTGTAACCCGAAACTAGTTAAAAATTTTATTACTAATGTTATAAAAAGCAATAACAATAAGAAAGACAAGTGAAAAGACATTCGACAGATAAATTAATCAAAAACCATATTCCTTTTAAATCCAACAAGAAAAGGAGAGAGAAATCATTAAGAAACAGGGGAATAACACCGCTTTTTTACAACAAGAAGTTTGATTCAAAAAGATATTAAAGTACAACTAACGCTAAATAATTCAGATAAAATTTAAATGTATATCATTCATTAGATGAGTGAATTTTATCAATTTTTTCAATCAGACCCATTTATTCAATACTCATCAAAGGGATGAAATACATTTGAATTATACTTTTAAAATTTTATTTGAATTGCTAATATTTTTCTTAAATTGTAAGTTATTCCCCAGACTCGTTTTTCTAAGGGGTGGGCTACACACATTTCTGCAAAATTCCAGAACCCCTTTTATAATCTGCAAAATTTTCAAACTCCTTCATATTCTTTGATTCCCATTACATACTCTGTTTCAATTCGTGTCCAATCCTTTATCTAATCATGATCTTCATAGTATCCCCAGTGGTTCCCACTTAACCTAAGACTTAGACTACCAAATCCTGTGGTTAGGGTCAGAGAGAGTGGATCAGGAGAGTAACTGCATGAGCTAATTTTCATTTTTTTAAATTATAAAATTTTTTCCTGTAATTATAGGGTATTTTATAAATTAATATATTTTAATATTTTTCGGCTATCCATCCCGAGTACTTTATCTTAACACCATAAGCTTAAGCAATAGAAAGAAATTGAATTAAGGTAATTAACAACCTTGTCTACAATCATGGAGAAGACCCGTTTGTTGTAGGATAAGGGGCTATGATACTGGGCCTGAATATAGGCCTCTAGCTGGAGGCCCAATATTCTAATAGAATTGGTTCAACTCGGAGTAATCAATATGAACTTTTCTATGGTAACCTAGCCAGCCTGGACCAACCAGAATAGCCATATGGCCCAATTTTCGCACCGAACGAACTTGTGTTCGCGTATGGATAGGGATGGTAGTGGACTGAAGTCGACACGGAGGGTGAAGTCTCTATCTCCATACTTACTTAAAAAAACTTTGTCAATCTTCAATTCACTTTTATTAATGGGTATAATTTTTATTTCCATCTCGTCCGCGAGTAAATTTGTAATTTTTGCCCCCGCCCCCCGCCCACCGCCCACCTTACCTAGTTCAAGTCCAAGTCAATATAATCTAAAATTTTAAATTAATCTAACATTTTAAATAATTTAACATAATATAATTAAAATATTGTCTACAACATAATAAAACATAATATAATCCAACATAAAAATACAAAGTTCTACACTTTTACGAGCCAAAAATATGAAAAAAATCAAAAAAACAAAATAATTTTTAAAAGAAAAAAATCATTCAATAATATATAGATTTATATTCACAACAACAACAACATATATATATATATTATATATAAAATAATAATAATAATAACGGGTAAAGCAGGGTGGGAGAGAGGCAGGGCGAGTGTAAGTATCAGTCTATCCCCGCACAGGTTTATACGGTTATCTCGTATACGTCTATCGTCCAATATATATGGTCCATCTCCGATCCAAACGAAACGATTTGGACGAATACTCATTTTTACCGGGCCCGCTGCCATCTCGATGTATGGAATAGGCCAATAGGTACACGTGTTGGGATGCGCCCATGTAAGAAAAAAAAAATTTACTTTTCTTTAAATCTATACTACTTCCAAAAGTGGCTTAACATGAAAAATATTTACTTTTCTTTTTTCCCCTTCATAAACTCAAAAAAGACATTTGTATTAGCCTTGTTCAGATTTCTAACCAATGAGTCTCGTTCAATTAGGAATGTAATTACAAATTTATCTTTGATATTCTACGCTTCACTGATATTGTAAGGACATTTTTATCCTTGACAATGAAGATGATCTGCTCCAAGCCTCCGATGCCTTTTTATATACTAGCTATTTCAGAAACTTTGAGGTTGGAGATGGATGATGAGTCTATAAAGCTTATCATGAGAACAAACCCAGCTAGGTATTATTCTATTATATTTTCAAATTAAAGTTAATGTTCCAGTATTGTTTTGTGCTTCTGGTGAGATTATACATGTTCATAATTTAAATCCTTGTCCTCTAAACAATAGTTTCATTTTTTTCATTCAACTACTAAATCGTTAGCCAGATAGTTTAGCATCATAGCAAGATATTCTTATTTCAGGATTCTAATAATTGATGTTTTATGTTATATATGTTTTGTGTTGATATTGTTTTGTTTTGTTAATGAATGTGCTTTATTGCGGTCTGTGTTTTTTAGAAGCTTTAATACACTTGTCTTGTCTTGTTGGGTAGTTTTAGTATATTTTATCAGTAGGATTATGTGAAGTGTACGCATAAAAGTGGTGGAATTCTAGTACAACTATTAGAAATTCTTTTATTTAATGTTCTTATGTGCCTTGTATTCAGTTGAAGAGGAAAAATCATTATTCAATTGAAGAGGAAAAATCATTATTTCATGATGGACACCATTGTTCTATTTTTTCGAATTTCCTTTTCCTAACTCCATGCATAAGAAGCTAGGCACCCAATTTTCAATTTATAGTTCTTGTTAAGAAATAACTATTAGTGAAAATATAAATTTATTCTGTGAGTTTAATAATTTCGATATGGGCTAAATAAAACTTACATCAGTAATAAACACAAATAGAGAAGGCTCAAGTGTGCTCCATGCAAACTTTCTGAGTTACTCCTCTTCTTTGTATCACGGTTGGGTCATTGGATCTTATTACAGTGGTTCATAGTTGTTGAGTGTGAGTTTTATCTATAGTCCAAGTTATTTGATCAACTTGACATGTCTTTTTCTTTTATCTTGTCTTCCTCTCAAACTTTTGCGGTTTTGTTGCCCCACCATGACTACTAAGTTTGGTCTTATGAATTGTACAAAAAATCAACATTGGAGAGTGTTACCCAAATAATTCAGTTTGTGTTGTCTTTTTTTGTACTTTAGTTATCACAAATAAAATTTAAGATAATAGATAAAAATTGTCCACGTACAACGTACAACTAGTAAATAAAAAAGGACAATCAGTAAATTCAGCTGTTTTGAGAGGGTTGGCTCATGTATGAAAAATAAAGTCTAAGTTATAGGCTTTAAATTTTTTTTTTCATAGGGGCTGCGCGAACAGAGACACCCACTATCACAAATTATGACGTAGACTCCACCACTTGGGTAGATCTTAGGCGGCGCCCCTCCTGAGTGCAATGGAGGTCGCCAACCTAGGCCATGGCCTTCGTGATCACCCATTGACCCCAGGTAAGTATTATAGGCTTTAAATTTTAAGAATGCCTCGTAATTTTAGATATATTATTAACTCACAAAAAATTTTTAAGCCCTAAAAGCATAGTTTTAAAAAATCTAAAAAATTAAGTTCAATTAAAATTTTATTACAATAATTTTGGCCCCATAATCCAATTCATAACATTAAAAATTTTAAAATTTAAAATTTAAAAAATAAAAAAGTATTCAAAAGTCAATTCAACAGTCAACTCTCTCTCGCTGATAAGAAACACAAACAAAAGTTGAAACTGTTTTTCAACAAACAGCACATCATTTTTTTCTCTCTCTTACATAAAAAAATAAAAATTAGTTAGTTTTTTAAAAAAAATTAATAGTAAAAATAAAAAAGACCTCATTTAATGTTTTTATTTTAGGTCTCAAATTATCTTGAGTTGCCTCTGCGTCTTGAGTTTAATTTTGATAACTTTTTAGGGTCAGGTAATGACGAATTTATCTCTCGTGAATACTCTAATTCCAACGCGAATGACTTACCTTTAACCAAATCGAGAAAAATATCAATTGAGATGCTCATAAATTAGCATAAATACCCCTGATGGTTGAACAAAAAAAATAAATTGATATTCCAAGGTCCACTTCTGCCATACTCGAGTAATTTTCAATTTGGATATTAACAAAATTAATTGGGTCAAAGAAGTTGGGGGCACAGGGTACTGGAATTAAAAAAATATATAAGGACCAATTTCATAACAAATTTCTTGAAGTCAATAAACTGGAAAAAAAATAGAGTCACAAGTTTCTTACCCACTTTTTTTTCTTTTGTCATCTTCTTTCCAAAGATAAGAAAAGTGGAAAAGAAACGAATGGGTGATCAATGGATAATAGATAATTTGATTACTTGTATAAAAAA